GGCCAGGTGTCTTCTGGCTCCATATTGTGTTCAAGTGAAGAACAGAGGGGCCAGAAAGGAACCAAGTACATACAGGAGTTATCACGTGATAAAAATAGCATCACCTATAGAGAGATTATTCAATAAATGGACAAGTATATGAGCACCTTGCTCATGGAAAACAACACAAAAATAGATTTTCATCAAACTAAATGAGATTCAACCTTAGACATAAAAGAAACACAAAATGACGCTACCACATATGTTTGTTCAAAAGTCACACATACAGCTACCATATGACCCAGCTACCCTGCTCTGAGATATTTACCCAAGAGAAACGAAAGCAAACATCCATGCAAAGACTTGAACATGAATATTCACAGCAGCTTTGTTTGGAAACAGCCCAAATGGCTGTCTACTGGTGGCTAAACATGCTACATCCATATAATGAAATACTACTCAGCCATAAAGAGAAACAAATGATATGTGCAACAAAATGGATAAACCTCAGAATAATGATTCTGAAAGAAGTTGGGGAAAAGAAGTATATATTATATGTCTCCATTACATAAAATTCTAGAAAGCGGATCAGTGGCTGCAAGGAGAGGTAGGGAACAGGGAATTTACATCACAAAGGAGAATGAGGAAACTTCTGTGGGCAATAAATGTGTTCCCTATCTTGATTGTGGTGACGGTTTCACAGGTATAAACACGTTAAAATTTATCACATAGCATTCTTTAAATTTGTGTGATTTGCTACATATCAATCATATGCCAATACAACCTACTTTTTTTAATCTACCAAGTGATCTCCTATTCAGCTACCAGATTGACAAAGATAAAAACGGTCTTCTGGCTATAGTATGGGGAAGCAAATATTTGCATACACTGTGGTGAGGCAGAAATGGACAAAAACTTTGAATGGGAAATTTAGCAACCACTAAAATTTAACATGCACTTACCTTTGACCCACTTTTAGAAGAGATATCATTTTTAGAAATTTACCTATATTAGTTTTCTATTGCTTTCATAACATCACCACAAGTTGGGTGGCTTAAATTAGCACCCATTTATTATCTCAACGCTCTGAGGTCAGAAGTCTAGGTGCAGTGTGGCTCAACCAGGTCCTCTGCGTACAGCTTCACAACACAGATCAAAGTGTTACTGGTTCATGGCAGATCCTTCCAGAGAATTCTACACATTAACAAGCAAACATGTGAATTTTCTCTCTGTGCCGACTGGAAACCACCACGTGAAACCTCACAAGTTTTCCTCCCAGACCCCTGACTGCGATTTGGGGAGGAATCCGGGAATCCAGGACTGTGTAGTCAGCAACTAGCGTCTCCCAGAGGAGAAGGTGGAGGAAGTGCTAATCACGGAGAAAAGCTGCCAGAGTTAGAAGGGAGGCAACTCCAGAGTCAAATGGGGCTAACATCCTCACATGCTGTGTGACTTTGGGCAAATGACTTAACATCTCTGTGTCCAGTTGGCAGAGAGACATCGCATTCTATGCCTGGGGAATCAGAGCCACCAGAGTGGGCCCCTGGCTCCAGGCCATTCTGATGACCAGCTGGGTTTGCCATCACCCCAGCCTACCACAGTTAGCCAGGGTAGGGCCCCCAACATCTCTGGCCTTGCTTACCCATGTCTACATTGTTACTGGCCAAAAATTGCACTTCCTTGTGTGTGCAATGGGCTGATGCTAGTTCCACTTGCAGGTGGTTGGTGGGGGCGAGGTAGGGGTTTGAGTCAATGAGTTAATACTTTGTGGAGTGCCTGATAAAGTATTATTATTTTTTAAATATATTTGACATACAACATTGTGTTAGGTGTAAGGTGAACAGCATATTGCTTTGATACATTTATATTACCACACAGTTACCACTGTAGTATTAGCCAATACCTCTATCATGTCACATAATTATTATGTCCTTTAGTGTTGGGAACAAGTAAGATCTAACCTATTAGCAGGTCTAAAGTTGATAATCCAGTTTTGTTGTCTACAATCACTGTACTGTGTTTTAGGTCTTGTTTATTTACTTAGAACTATTATTTATCTTATTTATCTACAGATTGCAAATATACAATATTGTAATGACATTATTATCTATATTTGAAGTCCCAAGAAAATCTCTCCTTCATAAACTGTTCCCAACGTATCCCCAGCACATTCCAGAGCTCTCCTTGCTGCACTTCACATCCTTTGCACATGTATCCCATCGTCCCACTGGTATTTTAGCTCATCCAGTCCGGCCCCCAAGGATGTAGTTCTCTTCTTTTCCTGATAGCACCGAGCACCACCTGAACACGTCATGGGTCCCCTGGCACCTAAAGGGTGCTGGAGTCCAGCTCCAGCCGAGGTGTGGGTCACGAAGGAAAGGACAGCGTCAGCGAGTGAGATGAGTGAGGAGACGAAACACCCAGTTAAGGTTGTAGCATCTCCTGACATCAAGCGGCAGGGTCTTTATTTTTATATCTTTAAGGTTTACATAATGTTAAACATTTTTAAAAATCATGAATAATACAATCCTTTTCTGTCAGTTTACATAATTTCAGCTTATTACTCTTAAGTAAATATCATTATTTCTTCTAATAGTAGCCATTTAACATTTAATTTTTAACTTTCCCCTAGTCTATTGTGATTAGTAATTCATGTAGGCTACGTGCTTGGTGCTAAACAGAAAATGGCGTAAGACAGCGTGTGGGTTAAGCATGTGGGCTATGATTTTTACTATAAGACTTTTAGGTATGTGTCTAAGGTGTGTCTAAGGTATGTGTCTAAGGCTATATAAAGTTTAAGCAGTTTATATAAAATGCAAGCTATATGTCTTTTGGTTATTAAGTGTAACTATATTATTAATTAAATTCTATCTTACACATGTGGGTTGAGGCTTACATCTAAAATCTAGGGATGGTACACCTATCACCCATTCCTTAATATTCTCATGAATACAATAAAAAAACCTTATTCTTTCATAATATTCATTCCACAATTTCAGATGTTTACACCTTTTCTCCTGCATCTGCAGGCAGTAGGGCCTTGCAGTTCTTTTTATCCTTTATATAATAACACTAAATGTGCTCTTACTACTTTACTATTAATATAATAATATTTTGTCATAAATTTATTATAAATTTTTATATATGGGATATTTATAAATATAAATTTTCCTATTTTGCTCATAAATTCTTTCTATGAGGGGAATACCAGAGGTGTCTTCTAAGATTATAAGCAACATAAGGGGGACGTTGGGCAGTGGGGACTATCCATCTTTATTACTTTGCTGTTTCATATAAATTTCTTGGAAAAATGGGTTTTTCTATGGGGGTTTTTCTGTGGCCCGGTTTCCCGTAACTCCTGGTTACTCATGTTTCAATTGTTACAAAAGGAGGAACAAACTGCGTCTAGTGTTGAGAGGCCCCTGCCGCACTTATTTGTGGCGATATGCCTGCAACAGATGGTCCCGCAACACTGCTTTTGTTTCCGGAATTGCTGCTTTGATCAATATTTGGGGTTATGTTATTTACTAGAGATGAATAAATCTTAAATACATAAGATTTCCCATATATAAGCCCAATCACCAACATCATAACTGCAAAACTAAGTGCGGGCATTAGCAGGGCCCAGCTGTGAGGTTTCCTGTTCCAAGGTTTCTTCCTCGTGCCTGGAGCTTGTCACACAGCACGAGCAGCGTGGCCCGCGCCAGAAGGGTCTCTTCGATCTTCAGCTCTGGGGGTTGGGAGCTTCTGAGCTCCAGCAGGGAAAATGTTTGAGATGGAGGAAGGGAAGGCAGAATTACTGGTTTTCAAAATAGGAAAAGAAAATGGCCCAAGCCTGAAAAGCATAATTGATTGTTTCCGTAAAACATATGTCAACCAGTCAATGGCATCTTAATTTGACCATTATATTTTAAAGCACATTCAACTGTCCATCAAGGGATGAATACATAAACAAACTGGTTTATATGGTCAATAGAATAGTATTCAGCCATAAAAAGGCATGAAGGGCTGACATGCTACAACATGGCTTGAAAACGTGATGCTCAGTGAAAGAAACCAGTCACCGAGGCCACATATTGAACAATTCCATTTATAAGAAATGTCCAGGGTAGGCAACCCCATAGAGACAAAAAGCAGGTCAGTGGTGACTTGGCTTGGATGATGGGAATGAGTGACTGCTTAATGGGCATGCGGTGTTCTTCTGGGGTGATGGAAATGCTCTGGAATTAGTTGTGATGGTCGCACAGCTCTGTGAATACACTCACCACTGCACTGTGCACTCTGGACAGGAGAGTTGTATGGTACAAGAGCTCAAAGAGTGGTTTACAAAAAGCACACTTGTGAGAAGTGAATCCATTTGGGGAGTAGCTAGTCCATGAGGCTGAGAGAGGAGGTGCCCAGGAAGTTGGCTGCCTGGAGCTGAAAAACCACAGGGCAGAGGTGGAGGGGAGTTTGGGGTGAGGAAGCAGAGGCGGGGCGGGGAGCTGATGCTGAGCGCAGAGCAGAGCCTCCCCGCCCCCAAGGCCCTTTGATGGTGGACAGCCGTCTCCGAGGCCTGCCTTCACCCACCCTGGACAGTGGGAAGGACAAGCTAAGAATCAGGTTTAAGAACTAGATGGTGGTGATGGGTGCACAGCGTCATGACTGTACTCACGCAATGCCACCAAACTGTCACCTCGAAATGGTGAAAATGGTACATTTTAGCGGTAGTAGACTCTCCCCCCCCCAAAAAAAAATCAAAGTATCAAACCGTGTTGCCTTCTGTCCTAAGAGGTCCACTTACAAGGCTTGAAAAGGCAAACCTTTTTCCCCCAAGGCTGGTCCCCTTCATTGGTCGGAAGCCCCCTCCCTCCCTTTCTCCTGGGCGGAGAACTTGATTGGAGGCTTCTGACTGGCGGGGTCTTTGTCCTGGAAGCCCCCTCCCCCTCGCGTCCCTGGTCTGGGAGAGTGGATTGAGGCGGAGCCTGCGCCTTTGGGAAAGAAGGTTCCTTTCAGGCCTTCTCTCAGCTGCCCTGGGGAGAGAGACTGGTGGTGCAGGGCTCCGTCCGGCCAGCGGCAATGCTGGTGCCCACGGGGCTCCTTGGTCTGGCCCTGCTTTGGGCACTGGCAGCCTTGACTTCAGGGAACAAGTAAAGCTGCTGCAGTCCTGGTTCTGCCTGGGGTGAAGGGGCAGCAGCCCAGTTCCTCCTGGGACAGCGTCTTTGCAGCCTGATGCCTGCTTACCGGTCGCTCAGCTGCCTCCCTAGGTTTTGCCTTTCTTGGGGAAAAGGAAGGCGAGATTACAGGTGGATCTCTCAGGTCCTGCTCCCATCTTCCTCTGACATCCTCTGCAAACTGGGGCCAGATCTAGGATCCTGAGTGCTAGAGGCTGACTTCTAGGCTTCTTGAGCCTGTGCGTGGGGATGCTTAGCTGTCTACAGGGGCGTGAGATGCTTGGAATTAAGCAGCTCCGTGTTGCAGACTTAACACGATGAAATGAGCTTATATTTGTTGTCTGTTTATTGCAGGAGGGTCTAGGCAGTACTAGCCGATAAAACTATAGTGAGAGCCAATATGTAGTTTAACAGTTTCTAGTAGCCACATTTAAAAAATGCAAAAAAAAAAGTGCAGTTAATTTTGAGACTATATTTTATTTGACCCAATGTATCCAAAATATCACTAGAAAAGATAATCAATATTTTAAAAAAAGGTGTTAATGACATATCTTTTCCTCTTTTTGAAATGCAGTGTGTTTTATACTTGGAGCATGTTTCGATTTGGATGTGAAATTTTCATTGCAAATACTTAATGTGTATTTAGACTTCCTAAAATTTAAGAATCGAAAGTCATTGCGTATACTGGGTTGCTTCAAAACCTACTTGAAAGTTTTCCCATAGCTGACTTTAATATCTGTTTTTAACTTGAATTTTAAATAAAGTAAAATATATAAAATGGACAGTTTTCATAGTATCAGCCACATTTCAGATGCCCAATAGCCGTGTCGGGTGGCGGCTACATGCTGAATGGTGCTGGGCAGATCACGGCTGTTCGTTCCATTTGCTCTTTTAAGCACCTGTTTGAGTGGTACACAGTAGTGTTTGGAAATCTGCATTGGCTGGATAAATAAATGAACAGGGATCAGAACTGACATCTGAGAAAGCTGAGGCGAGACTCAATTTCATTGCCAAGGCGGTGGAGGTGCTGTTAATTTCAGTCCGTTTCAGATCTGCGCCTAGAAATGAGTAGGATCTGATTGGAAGGTTCATTGCCTCCACCCACTCAGTGTTTTCCCTGTGGTTGATTTATTAGTAGTATTGACTGGTTTTTGTTTCTCTGAAAACTTCTTTTAATTTAAATGTGTCTGTGTTTCTAAGCGCTTGAGAATTGGAAAGGGAACAAACTTGATTCACGCAGAATGCTCTTTGGACACACCTTGCCTCTGGAGCTCGCAGTGGATCGGGGCTTGCAGGCTAGGCTGCTTTGCAGCATAGCTGGGGGTAAAGAAGATGCAGGGGTTGTCGCTCAAGCAAACAAATAGAATGCTCGGGTCTCTGCACAATTGAGAGTTTGATGATTATGCATAAGCACATTTAATTTGTTGCCCGGAGTCCAAGTCACCAAAGAATGGAAAGTTGGAAGAGAAATCGATTGGGTTAAATGTCTTTGAAATGTGGCTTTTGTTGTGCCCAAAGTCGCGAATCCCAAGGAGACCACCAAGGAGCTAACACCGATCCAAAAGCAAAAGAGCCTTTATTCGAGCGAGCCCGAGCTCAATCTCACCCCAGTGCCAACACAGCGGCCAGGTGCCAAAGAAAAAGAGCGCATTTTCCCCAGAACAAAGGTTTTATGGGTTTCCAGGGCGGTTTGGGGGGAGGGAGGTGATGGCCGTGGCTCTGGCTGATTGGCTGGATCTAGGGGTAGTTGGTGGGGTGATAGGTCATGGCTCTGGTCAATTGGCAGGGTCTATGGGTGGTGGGTGAGCTCTTCGCTGACTGGAGAGGAGAGAGACCAAGCTCCGATTGGGTGAAATAGGATCCAGGTCCTGATTGGCTGAGGTAGGATCTGGGTCCCAATTGCCTGCTGGGAGCTTGCCCTTTCAGCTTTATCCATCGATATTCTACTTTAATGCAAAGAGCATTTTTATTAAATGAGACAAGACATTCGGGGAAGAAAAAATAAACCTGCCAAATATCCTACCATGTATCGTGTCAAAGGGTCTGAACAAAATGGTGTAAAAAAGAACTTTCCCCCATTTGGGGGACGTGTTCTTCTTTTCAAGGGATTAAACATGGGGGCATGTGTAACGATCAATTTAGGCACGATAGGGTAGTTTTGTGGATGGAAGTGGTATTTTTGAAAAGCCGTCGTGTGGCGTGGCTGCAGACGGCTCCCCAGCTGAGGCTGTTCTGGCAGGGCACCCATGGCTCCCAGGAAAGGTCCAGGCAAGCGGCTGGCAGGGAAGACAAACGGGGGTTGACAGGAGGAGGAAGGGGGGCCCCCAGGTTGGGATGGGTGGACTGGGAGATGCTGACCCTTCCCAGGGAGGGCCTGGGGCCCCTTGCAGAGGGTCCTGAGCGGCCTGAGGCAGGCGGATGAGGAAGTCTGTAGTCTGTTCTGTTTATAGTCCGCTGTCTCCTGCAGTTTAGACGGCAGGGGAAGTGAGGTGTCCTGAGGCCCGTGGGGAACAGTCCTGGACAGCACCATTTACTGCGGCAGCCTCAAGGGCTTGCCTTTGTTGGTTAGATGTGGTCATGGAAGGCTGCACTGGGAAGAGACCTTTATGCTGAGACCTAAAGCAGCCTGTGAGTAGAGAGCAGGAGGAAGGGTGTTCGGGCAGGAGGGAACAGAAGGCGCAAAGGCCTTGCGCTGGAGAGAAAGGATCACTGTGGCCATAGAGGGAGATGTGGCCAGAGGGTGGCGCTCACGGATTCTGTTACGAATGCATGTGCGCCAGGGGGAGGAGACTTAGGAGACATTGAGCCAGGTAGGGATGCGATCAGATTTGGGTTTTTAAAAAATGAATTGTGGACAGGGGGGAATAAGTGGGAGGCTACTGCAACCATTTAGGCCAGAGGAGGGGTGACTTTGCCTAGAGTGATGACTGTGCAGGTGGAGACCCACGGATGGAGAGAGAGGGAAGTCTGCATTTGTACCTGGAATTGGCACACCTTGCTGGCATGTTGGACTCGGGTGTGGTGATAAGGGGGAAAGATGACTTCCAAGTCACCAGCTTGAGCAATGGCGGGGAACAGTGGTGCCAGCACCCGAGATGGGGAAGGGCAGGTTGGGTGAGGGGCACGCAGATCATTCCCAGCCCTGGGAGAGAGAGGAGAGCTGCCATTCTCTCTTCCTGTCCCCTCGGTCCCCGGGACCCTTACACGTCCTCCTCCACTCTGGGGTGGGCTGTTCCGTGCTTCCTTCTGGCTTTGCCCTGGTTCTGTCTAATTTGTGATTTATGAAATTCCAGATTCCCTGGAGGAACAGGTGGCCTCCTGCCTGACAGTGTGCACAGGTGGGCGAGACTCTCAGGAGACCTTACCACACTGGGGACAGGGAGCCTGGGACTGGAGGACCTGGTGGCTGGAGGGAATGAAGCTCATCAGCTGTAATGTATGATTAAGTGCAAATCCTCAGGCCTTGTCCACATTCCCAGAGAGGCCAGTTCGGAGAGGTCACTTGGTCATCAGCAATCAGAGAAGCACACAGCACTCCAGGGTAAAATGCCATAAACATCCCAGCCTCCAAGGGGAGGGTACCTTGAGGTCCCCAGGCATAAACGTTTTTGTTCAGGTGATTCCATTTGTATCTTGGGTGGAGCAGGTGACAGAGCCGTGGGGAAAATTCTTTGGAGAGCGAGAAGCTTCTGGAAATGTGAGGTGGTTGTGTGAGCTCAATGAAATTGACATGAAAATGCTAATTGAATTGCCAGCCCAGTGGAAGAGTGGGGTCCCATAATTAATTGGGTTTCACAATAGTATTCCTGGCCTAAATAGACAGGTAGAGAGGTGCAAACCTCTCTGCTCCCTCAATCGGCCCTTCTTCAGAGCAAGTACTCCCCACCCCCACCCCCACCCCCGTCTCCAGTACTCCAGGGCTGGCGACTTCACAGCGCTGTCCTCTGTCAAGGATGAGGATAACCTCCCTCCCCTCACACGCACTCTGTGTCCACAGGCGGTAGGTGAGGAGTCAGACTATCAAGGTTTGAATCCCAGTTGTGTGACCTTGGGTATGTTAGTTAACCTCTCTGAGTCTCAATTTCCAGTTCTGTCAAATGGAGAAAATAAAAGTGTTCACCTCAAAGCTAGTTACACCATTGAAAGAATTAGTGCAAAAGTAGATTGGTGGTTCTTAACGCAGATGATTGCACCCTCCCCCAGGGACATTTTGCAATGTCTAGAGATAAGGCTCTCACAACTGGGAGATGCCATGGACATCTAGTGGGTAGAGGCCAGAGATGCTGCTGAACACCCTGCCGTGTGCAGGATGCCCCCACAGTAGAATATGCAGCCCAAAATACCTAGAGTGCCACGGCTGAGTAACTCCAAGATGTGTAAAGCTCTTAGAAGGAGGCCTAGCACATGACAATACTAGTTAACACTGATTAAGCACCTACTGTCTTAATTTTCCTTTTTACCCTTGTTGGGATATGCAGCCTCCCCCGACGCTGGGAGCAGGTAACTCATGGTCCTAATGGAAAGAGGGAGGTGGGAGCAGGGATGTCTAAATACCTTCCAGAGTTGGGTCTCAGAGGGTGATGAACTGTCAAGGTAACAGTGTCCTCTGTCTGCCCTTCAGGGTCAGCTGATCCCCACCTCCTGGTGGGCACCAGATTTACCTATTGCTTCTCCACCAACACCAGCACAGGCCTGCAGGCGACCCAGGTGGAGGGCAGCAGCCTTGGCCTGCAAGGCTTGGTTATCCTCGATGTGCTTGGGCCATGCCAGATGGCCTTATGGGTGGGTGTCTTTGGGCAGCCAAGGGGTCACATTTATTCTGGAGAGGGCCGAGGGGAAGTCACATCCCCTAAGTTTCTAATTTGCCTGGTAAATGGAGAGGAGCTTTCTGAGGAATCTCAAATTCAGCAGTTGAGGACCCTGGAGGGTGACATGGGATTGTGGTGCCATTTGGGTTGTAGGAGGTGTCACAGGAGGCCCAGGGGGCGAGTGAGAGGGGTTAACAAGAGAGGGTATTCCTTGGAACAAGCAGAGCCGCAGGATGCTGGTAAGCTGTAGCCTTGGCAGAACTGAGGGTCACAACTGGGGGACCTGCAGGTCCCAGGAGTGAAAAAGTCAAACCATGTCAAGACCCTGTAGACGAAGGAACAGGCTGGGGTAGAAACCCAAGGCCTGGATGGGGCTTCCTGGCACACTTTGTACTGGACACTGGCCTTGCAGTGCCTGGGCCCACAGGCTTATATCAAAGACAAATGGTAAGGTGAGCGGTGCTGGGGGTCCTGGACTCGGTCAAGGCAGAATCATGAGCCAGACTCACTTGATGGCTTTAGGCTCTTTTCATCGAGATTTTCTTGAAGCTCCACCATGTTCTCATGAGTGGAAGTATCGCTGCCTATTCTTTGTCCTTTTTCTATGACTCTTACTGGACAAACCCTCCTCCTCCTGCATAAATAGCCTGTTAGTTTTCACTGAAGTCTTACCTCGTGCTTGAGAAGCATTTTTGAACTGGCTGGAGCACCTGCTGTTAAGAGTTTCTCGAACTTTTTTTCCCCCCATGTTGACCACAGGATGTTTTCCATGGGTTGGCTCCAAGCTGCCTCAGAATTCTTAAAACTAAAAACTACCTAAAATGTCTGTTCTGGCAGAGTTCCCACTTTTTTTGTTGTTTGTTTTTTTTTTAGAGTTTTCTGTTATTCTTTCATGTCCATCAAAACCTGAGAAATCATATTTTTGTCCTGCACGACCAGTTTTCACAATGCAGGTTGTATACTGCAGTTTCATTCATTTGCTTGGTTTTTAGAATTTAAAAAAAATTGATGATGTCAAATGTTGGCAAGAAAAGAAAGAACGGACTTATTTTTGTAAAAATGGAAATTTTGCAGTAACTCAGGAAGCAATCAATTAAATGTATTTTTGTGTAAAGAGTATGAAAATAAGTATGCAGAGCAATGAATTTTCACAAACTAAACATGCCTGTACCCCCACCACAGTTCGGAAAAATAACCTCCCTTATTCTCTGTTCTGGTCGTTTCTCACAAAGGCCTCCTCAGTTCTGGCACCATAGGTTAGTTTTGCCTGTCTTTGAATTTCTCTTAGTGGAATCATACACAACGTTCTCTTTTGTATCTGGCTTCTTTTTATTCTTTTAAACATTTTTTATTGTGGTCAAATATACCATTTTAACCATTGTAAGTATTCAGTTCAGTGGCAGTAAGTACATTCAGTGTTGTGTGACCATCACCATTGTCCATCTCCCCAGATTTTTCACCATCCTGAAGAGCAGCGTTGTACCCCATGAGATGACCACTTCCCATTCCTCGTCTCTATTCCACTTTCTGCCTCTGGAATTTGCTTAGAAATGAATTTGCTATGAGAACCTCATATAATGGAATCACGTATCACGATCAATAGGTGGTCTCTGTGTCTGACTCCTTCCACGTGTATGTTTTCAAGGTTCATCTACATTGTGGCATGAGTTAGAGCTTCGTTCCTTTTTTCAGAAATGTATTTTTTATTGTGGTTAAAAAAAAGCCACATAAAACCCTTTCAGTTATTTTTAAGTGTACCGTTCAGTGGGTTGTTACAAAGATCTATATATCATCCATGTCTGTAACTTTTTGAACATACGAAATACAGTTTTATTGGATAGCTTTCAACCGAGTCGTCAAACAGTGAGGGTGTCGAGTGTGGCTGAGGGAGTCACGGCCAGGACAGCCTCTTGATGCCAAGCAGAGCTATATTTTATCCTAAGATGTCAAGCCTGGGTGACTGGGGAGATGAAAGACTCGCTTGAGGACAGGGAGCTGGTTTTGCAGAGACAGAGGATCGGCGTTTATACAAGATGAATGAGGACTAGTTACTTTGGAAAAGTGAAATCATAGGCAGTGAAACTCATCTGTAGGGTAGTATATAGTGGTGGGCACATGTCATTGTGCATCTGTCCAAACCCATAGAATCCGCCCCCGCCCCCAAGAATGACTCCTAATGCAAACTAGGGCTTCGGGTGCTAATGACATGACAGCGTAGGCTCATTGATTATAACAAGTGTACCCCCCTGGTGGACGCTGCTGAGGGAGGAGGCTGTGTATGTGGATACAGGTATATGGGAAATCTCTGTACCTTCTGCTCAATATTGCCATGAACATAAAGCTGCTCTAAAAATAGTCTGTCTTTTTCAAAAAGTGTAATCAGTTGTGTTAGGGAGGCAGGTTTTAGGGGTGATTTTATTTTTTCATCTTTAGGAAGTATCTTCTTGTGCCATAAGCATACGTACACGTGCACACACACTCATAGCGATACTGGGACATCCAAATCTTTTATTCGTGGTGGGCAAGTCTTTTGCTGTTTGCTTTGCCTTCGTAACATATTTGTATTTATGCTAGAGGGCCATAGGCATCTCTCACCCAGACTTCCAAGGGCCTTTTTGGACAAAACGAGAAGCTAATGAGACCTTTCTGAACATTCATCAGGGACCGATAGACCCCTGGCTATATCAGTTGTGTGCCCCTTGGAGATACTTGGCATCCACCACCCAGGAACTAGAACCTTCTGTTTAAGGGAGGCCGCTCTGCCTAGCCCCTGCCCTGGGCTGTGTATCACGTGGGGCCCAGAACTGCCTTGTGGGAGGAGGTGCTGGGGACGCCCTGGGCTGTCCCAGGGGAGGTCACCGACTGACGGCACTTTGTGCTTCAGCTGCAAGGCTTCCGGGTGACCTCCATGCTGGGCTCCGAGGTGGCGGCTCTGAAGGAATCCCAGAGTTTGAGGTCAGATGCTGGGCCTCGCCTCTGATGGCGCTGGCTGTATGAGCCCTCAGTCCTCCTCCATCGGCTGCTGGGCCCTGGGTGCACCGAATTGGCTGGGAGAACCCAGTGAGGCCGACCCCTTTGCAGCAGGAAGATGCCCTCTCCGACTGAAGTTCAAAGCGGGGTCCACCTTTATGTTTTGGCCTCGTTAAGCACCCAGACCCTTGATGGGGATAACGGATTTGTCATGATGTAGAAGCCTTGAGTGACTCCAGAAAGCCTCAGTTGACCTTCCCTTACCTGGTGAAAGGACCTTGCCCTGTATTTCCCTGCTTGTCACCCCCAGGATCTGCCAAGCACATCCGGGCATCATGCTTAGCACATTCCGGGAGATGCTGGGCACCCAGTGAGATTTGCCCCTCACCCCTCCTTCCTTCCGTCTGCCAAGATGGGGGCTTCCTGGAGACCCATGGCCCCTCCCTTCAAGAGCTAAGCCCCCCTTCTGTGACCCAGCCAAGCCTGGAATTCTCCCTCTGACTTGTTTCCCAGGACTCCCCGACAGAGGCCTCAGCGCAGCCACCAGCCTGAAGACCACCAGCCCATCTCCGCGGATCCCTCTTCCTTTTCTATTGCAAATTCGTTTGTTAAAAAAATAAAGCCTTTGTGCAGGGATGGGGATGCTGCTGAGGGGCAGATGGACCCCACTGAAAGGCTTAGGGTGGTCTCCAAGGGGCCAGTGAGACCTACTGTCCCCGGGCTCCTCGTCACAAATGCTAAGTCACAGGGCTGGGGTTTGTCAGCTCCTTGAGGCCAGACTGACATTTGCTGTCCTGAAAGAGGCGGGCACCATTGGCATTTCTCTAGCTCAAGGCCTGAGCCCCAGGCGGCTGTCCCCAGACTGTACTGGGAGCTGGAGAGGGGGCAGGGACCTCCTGGGGAGGTACCTGTAGGGACACAGCTGTTCCTCAGGGTTCTGTCTTGCTGGCTGGTGGGGTTAGGGGCTTGCTTGGCTGGTTCTCCTTATCTGTGCGGCCCTTCCATCTTCTATTCCGACCCACTTCTGTGGGGACTTGAGCGTCAGTCACCTCCCGCCCTCCTCATCCCCTCCCCTGGCAGGTACCAGACGCAGGCTCCTGTCCGCCAGGTGGGGAGGGGAGCGAGGAGCATTGGGCTGAATTCCCGTGCCAGCTCCTCCCTGATTTGCTGTGTGGCCCCCTCCAGGAGCTCCCCCTCTGTGGGCCTCGGTTCCTCACCTCCACAGTGACTGAGTCTGTCCAGCTCACGGTTTCTGAGACCTTTGACCCCGAAGCCCACCTGGGCTCCAGTCCCAGCTGTGGCCCCGAGCGAGTCACTTTACTGCTCTGAGCCTGGGTTTCCTCATGCTGAGTTCATCCCTGGTGAGCTGGGAATATGAGGAGCCTTCGGATTCAGGAAGCTCTTGGAAGCTCGGCTGTTCATTATTTCATGCTGGGCTCATCCACGTACTTTTGGTCCAAGTGGCAACAGGCTGGGGACTTCCTCTTACGTTGTTTGATTCAAAAGTTTCTGGAGAGTCTAGATGAGGGGGAAGCAAAGCCACTGATGTGGGTGCTTCCTGTGGGGACTGACCTGTACGAGGTCAGGAGGAGCAGGGGCGCCAGTGGGCCCAACAGTGAAGAGGTGGCCTGGTGCTATAGGTGGGCACCGCCTGATGCCCGCCCTGCCACCTGCAGCGCCGCCCTCTGCCACCACTTGCTCCGCTTCGTACTCCATGCAGGGCGCGTGGCCTGCCTGTGTCCCCACCACGCAGAGCAGCGCTGGGTGCTGAATGTCAAGTGCGCTGTGCTGAGCCTCCTGCAGGGCCGCCCAGGGGCGCATGGCCCAGAGACCATGAGGAGGTGAGGCCGGGAGCCCAGGGAAGCGGGTGGTGGTGCAGGGGTGGAGCACGGGGCTGACTGGGTCCGCTCTCCCAAGGTGCATGTCCTGGGCTGGTGTCCCACCACATACCAGCCACGCGGTGCCAGGCTGCACAAGACCAAGGACCTGGCGTGGTGCTCCCCGCGATCCCAGGCCCTGCCCCGGGGAGGAGGTAGGTGGGCGGAGCCTCCACCCACTCCTGCCCCCAGTGCCTCCCCACCCTCCTCCCTTCCCTTGCCTGCTGTCTCCGCCCTCCCCTCTCCTCTCCTGTCACAGCTCCTTCCTGCAGACAAAAATGTTTTGCAAATAGTACACGTCTGAATAAGGATAGGAGCTGATCATTGTTCACATTAACTAATTACACAAAGTCCTAACGTCTAGAGGCTGAGGCAGGACTTTGCTGACATCAGTGTTTTTCATTTTCAAGCCGAGGGTTGATGGTTACTCCCCTTGGATTGCTGTTTGCTGGGCTTTTTCCTGCTCTGTCCTTCCGTCTCTGTCAGGCTTTGCTGTTGCTACTGCGCAGATGGCCGGGGAGGGCTGAAGCTGCCGCCCGGCCCCCAGACCTGGCCCTCCCTGCCGGCCTCAGGGGCCCCAGCCGGGGCCTGGCCCGAGCCCCCCTCCTGCTGTGGTCCAGCAGCCCTGCCTGGCCCCCATCTGACCTGTGTGCAGAGTTTCCAGGCTGGGGTGCCAAGAGAGGCCTCCTGCACGAAGCCGGACACCCGGGGGGCCCCTCTCTGGGGAGGGGAGTGCTGTGCCGATGTGGACTCTTTCCTGGCTAACGTGCTGCACCAGAGGTCCCCAGGTCCGGCTGTCACAGGTGACCGAGGGGCGGGGCGGTGGGCGTGCGCACGGACCCTCCGGCATAGGCTCCATTTCTTTGTCCCTATCTGGAGAGCTTCTAACCGTTTCTGAAAATGGCCATTGTCGGGAGAGTCAGCCTCTTTCTAGAAGTTTCTCGAGAAGTTTCTGCTTGCTCTAGGGATCCAGGTTTGCTCTTGGCCTTCTCTCTGGGGTATCCTCAGTAGAGAAGGAACTCCTGGTTCCCAGCTTTTGTGGGCAAATCCACTTTACATCTGATGACCCTTCAGCCTGACCACTTTGGGGAACAGTTGACTTGAGCTTCTGAATTTTCTGGATTGTTCTTTATAACATATAGCATTCCCTGGAGCTTAGCTCCTGCTTGCAACTTTGCATGGAAAGTAGCAAGCAAGGCATGCATCTGGGGAAGAGAGAGCTTTTTTCACTATCAAAAAATGGTTATTTGCCTCAATAATGAGTAAGAATGGTGAATTCCTTTTTGTTTTTGAGGTATAATCAACATACAAGAATGGTTAATTCTTATTGCTGGTAGTTTGAAAGGATTTACTATGGACAGTAGCTGTGCTGAGTACTTTATGTGGATGACTGACGTTAGTTCTCATCCTGAGCCCATTAGGAAGGTATTGCTAATAGTTACACTTGCAGATAAGGAAACCATGGCTCCAAGAGGTACAATGATTGTCCAAGGTCACATAGGGAAGGGCTGAGACCAGAACCCAAGTCTGCTCTACAGCCCTGGCTGGTGACCCTGTTTGCCTCAGAACTGGCCCGTGGAACACCCTCTACGACCTCCGCCTGACCTGCCCCCGAGCCCCACCTCAGGAACCTAGTGGTTCCCCATGGAGTTGAATGATTTTCCACTTTTTCTTCAAACAGCTTTATTGAGACATAATTCACATGCCCTACAATTCATCCATTCAAAGTGCCTGTTTTCGAGGCCCATCCATATTGTAGCAGGTGTCACAACTGCATCCCTTTTTGTTACTGAATAATCTTCCATTGTCTGAGTGAGCTTTTCATGTTTTCTGTCAGTCCCAAGGGAGACAGTTTATTTGACCATCCCCTACTGATGGATGCATCCCTTGTTTCCCTTTTTTTGCTGTTAGCAGCACTGCCGTGTTTCCCTTGTGCGTGTCCCCCTCACCTGTTAGCAGAAGCATGTGGACGAAGCACTGGTGGTGGGTAGGGGTGGCCCCTGGGAACTTCTGCTCACTCTGGCATTCCCCCATTTGGTCATTTCATCCAGTACTTCCCATCTCAGATCCAGGTGATGGAGACTTAACTCCGAGCAGCCTGTCGTATGAGTGGGAAGAGACACTGTCCCCAGCTACTGTGTCCACAGTGGCTGAATCAGGAGGAAACTGTGCTTGGCTCACACCACGAGTTTTGAGGTAAGTGGCTTCTTCAGCCCCAGGTCAGAGTCTGTCCTGGGCCTGGGTCCCTGGGACACCTCCTTTTCCTGCCAGTTGCTTTATGGCCCACCCTCCCAGATATTTAAGAGTTGGGTAGCACCCTGCACAATCGTGCCTGCTTGCAAAAGTAAAGAAGAGGAAAAAAATCTAGCTGGTGTGTGCCAAGCCTCGTGCCCCACTGCAGACTAAATGTGAGCAAAGAGGAGGTCTTTTTTCTATCTGTCTATAGGCAAACAGGCTCAGCTTATAAACCTGTCCCATCCCAGAGATCTCTTGGGAAGTTTCTAGCCACACCCAGGCCTCAGCACAGAGGGCTTCTCAACAAGCCCCAGGCGAGTCAGAAACAGAAGGCCCCGGCCTTCCCTGGAAGCCATGGCTATATATTGTCAAGGCTGGACGTGATGTGCTGGTGTCTCAGCTCAGAGAGGCTCAGGAGGCTCTGAGGCATCTGGGTGGAACCCCCTTTGTTACTGATGACAGTGTCTCTAAGAGTACCAGGACCACACTCGGATGACACCTCCTCCCTCCCTATTCCATGCTGAAAGAGAACCAGATAAGCTTTGGCACTGTCCCTGGGGAAGGGAAACGGTGTGCTCGGGGCCCACGCACAGGCTGCCTCCCTACTCTGCCCTCCTGATAGAACCTTCCGTAGTCACCACAGCAGTGTTCCCGCCGGCAGGGCCCAGGGTGGCTGGTTCCCAAGCTGTGAGCTCCTTGCTGTGTTCAGCACAGACTCCAGTGTTGGGGGAGACGGACATAGCCATGGCAAATGAACGCGAATTTTAGCCACTGATGGGCACCGTGAGGGGGCGGAGTGGGGATGTGGCTGGGTGGCCACTTTAGACCAGGGGTCTAAGCAGAAGACATTGGAGCAGTCGCTTGAAAATCCAGGGGCAAAGTGCTCAGAAAAGAGAGTTTGGAAGGGCCGAAGTCCTGAGTCTGAACTGAGTGGTCGGTCGTGTTTTGGGAGCAGGCAGGCCAGCCTCACTGGGCACAGACAGTGAGAACCAGCTGCAGGGTCAGGATGACTTCCAGAACATTCTAGACACGTAGCGATCTTTGTACCCTCTCTGCTGTTTATAGCTCAGGGCTGGATGTCACCAGGGACATTTGGGGACACCCATGCGTCCACCTTTTCTGCCCTATTGCAGCATTGCTGCTGACATTATGCAAGAACCTCAGCCTTTCCTGAGGGGCCTTAAAGTCGCTGGCATTTTTCTGATTCAGGCCTCAGGGCTTGCATGCTGTGGAGTGAAGAATGGCATGCTTTTTCTTTGATTCCAAACAGCCTGGGTTGGTTCACATTTACTTGTTTATTTGGGACGCTGCCACATAAATACCAGTTTCACTGGCTGCTGCACGGGACTGAGGACTTGGAGTTGGCTGTGTTCCCAGCACAGACAAAAATGGGTCTCTCAGGGTGTGAGGAGGGCTGGGCTCCCATCTCCAGGTCTTGGCAGGGCACCACCCCAGCCCCGCCCTCCAGAAGTTCGGCCTTCCAGGCGGCACTGGGCACAGGGGCTTCTCAGGTGTGCAGACCCCAGCCCTCGATATTCTGACCTGGCAGGTCGGGTGGGGCACTGGTTGCCTGGGTGCACAGCTCTGCATGTCTCGGCGCTTCTCGTGTGGAGTCAGGGCACAGAAGGGTGCTGTGGGGCCAGTGTCCACCAGCCGCAGCTCAGATCCAGAGCACCTGAGGTTCAGAAATGCCTCTGTCTGGAATTCTCAGCACTAGGGGCCCTCAAGGGTATCACTGCCTGTGTGGGGTGGAACGTTTGTTCATGAACTTGGAGGGGATGGGCCAGAGGCACCAGGCTGGAGTTAGCTGGCCTCAGTCTCCGGGGTCTGGGCTGAGATGGTGCAAACCTCTGTGTCCCATCTGACTACAGGAAGCAGGTCCAGGTACCCAGAGCAGGGGACATGATCAGGGACACCCACAAAGGTGTGTGAGTGTCCTGAGCCCCAGGGGGCTGAGGAGGAGGCTTGGGGGACAAGGTGCAGCTGGCATGGGAGGCAATTTTAAATGATGGATGGATGGCCTGGGAAGGCCTCGCTGAAGAGGTGACTTTGGGTTACAACCTGCAGGAGATTCAGAGCGTATGCGTGGATACGTGGGCACCCCAGGGCAGGAGGTGAGCCCTGAGGTCGAGTTTGAGTGGCAGTGAGGCCTGTGAGACTGGAGCAGGGTGGGGAGGGCAAGAGGGGGGGAGGGTCGCCCCCTTAGTGCAGCACACAGATCACTATTCATTGGGGTAAATGGGGAGCCTTGCGGGGTGTCACGCAGAGGAAGGAGGTCACCATCTGAGGGGCATTTTAACACTCGCATTCTGGCCAAGGGTAGAGTGTAGACTGAGGGCTGGGCAGGAGGCCAGGTGCCCTGTTAAGCGGCTGCTGCAGGGACACACGTGGGACATGAAGGTGGCGAGGTCATCGGTGGGGGCCGGGGGGTGGGGAGAATGTATAACACAGTCGAACCTTCAACACAGCTTGGAATTGTGCAGGCCCACTTCCACATGGATGTTTTTCAACAAATGGAAGATTTTTTTGGAGATTTGCAACAAGTTGAAAAATCATTTTTTTTAGCTTCATTGTAGGAATACAGTGGATGATACATTTAACATACAAAATATGTATTGATTACATCATCAGTAAGGCATCTGATCAGCAGTAGGCTATTAGTAGTTAAGTTTTTGGGGAGCCAAAACTTACTCATGGGCTTTTGACTGTGTGGGAGGTCAATGATGCCAACTCCCACGTTCTTCAAGGGTCAACTGTACGTGTATAATATTTGAATATATATATAGCGAGTATCTTTTGGCTCTACTGATTACATGCTAATTGTATATAGAATACGTAGTGAATATATGTTGAATAAATGCAGACTATATATTATATATGTGCGTATGGAATGCACGTTGAACACACACACAGACACTCATTAGACAGTCTGTGTGGGTGTGTCTGTGTAGCAGAGATGCCCCGGCAGTGGCTCTTCACTCTGTGGGCTCACAGCTTGCTGTTCTCCTGAATCCTTGGTCCGGGGGTGCCTCACGGGAAGTCAGGGCGGGCCATCTGCCTCACGAGACGGTGCTCCAAGCCATAGCTGGTGGCCAAGCCAGCTGTCAGCCTGGGCAGTCTGGCCCATGGCAGGGTCTGCACGCAGGCACAGCTGGCGCTTTGAGCAGGACTGTTCTGTTGTGGGGCCATCCTGTGCACCGCAGGCCTTGGCCTCTGCCCACCAGACGCTAGCGTCACCCCGTCCCCATGGTGAGAACCGAGTGTCTCCAGATGCTGTTGGAAGTCTTCTGGGGTGAGCGATTGCCCCACTGCGGACTGCCTGAAGCCTGTGCTCTAACCATTGTGCCCCCGAAACTCACGGCACGCCGGGAAGCCGCAGGGCCGGATTGTTTCCTGTTGTCTGGCCCCAGAGCACCCTCTGACCCCTGACCAGACATTTCCCCTGGCAGAGGTGGCTCAGGACAAGGTGTGCTGCAAGCCTGAGTGCCCCTTCCCAGAGACTGGCAGTGCCAGCCCCAGAGAGCACGGGGCAGCTGTCTTATATTTATAGCACCAGAAAGGAAGTAAATTGTTCCCACTGGGGAGGTGCTCTGGGCCGGGGGTAAACTGCTGATGAGAATGGCTTTTCAGGGATGCCTTAGTGCACGCCGAGCAGCTCCGTGGTCCCCCTGCAGGCCTGGGGACCTGCCCGGTTGCCAGGGACCGACCTCATGGGCTTCAGCTTGGAGTGCCTTTGCCCCCCACTCCTGCCCCCACTGTTGGTAGGCAGGAGACAAGATTGGCCTTTCAGCCTGGAAACAGAGCCAGGACACGGTGCTGAATGGAGAGCACATTCCCCAGCCTGCCCGCCACAGAGAGAGGCCCTGGAGTTTCAATGCGGGGGCAGTGGGCTGGGGTGACCAAGAGCGTCCCTCAGGAGTGCAGAAGGCTGGGAGAGAAGCAGGGCGAGCCAGCTCCCCTGGGGTTCGCCTGGGAGAGGTCATGGCTCCTGCTGCCATTCTGGTATTGTACCAACAGGAGCCTAAGTTACAAGCATTTATTAAATGGCAGCTGTGTACAGCCAAGCCCTTGGGAGACAGGCAGACAGTGGTGCACCAGAGCTGGCCTGTGCTGGCTCTTTAGCAGGTGGTCAGGTTTCCAGGAGTCCTGCAGGCTGGTTGTTAAGCACAGCTATCATTAAGGATTCAGTTAATACCTTCTTGCAGTTAAAATGAATCGTATCAGAAACATAGGTAAGGAACACTCAGAATCGTCACCACTCAGGTACTTCACTGCATTTTACTGTTATCTTTGCAGTTGAGGTTGTTGGGGTCTGTGCAGCTGCTCTGTGGACTCAGGATGAATGTTGTGCTTCTGGAAGGCTTTTCCCGGGTCTTTGTTCAGTGACAGTGCTTGAATAGGCCATAGTGGGATGTTTGCACTGTGGAAATTGGACAGTGCTACAAATCACAGCTTGCTTTTTTTCCAGAGTTGAGTATGTGTTTAGGAGCTGGATGGCCTGGGTTCAGGTCTTGACTCTGCCATTTAGTAGCTATGAGGCCGCTGGCACCTGGCCCTGAGTGTCACATTCCTTCTCTGCTAAGTGGGGACAATGACAGCCATTCACCATAGGGTGTTGTGAGGTCAAACGAGACGGTGCACACAGCGTGCCTTGAGCAGGGCCTGGCGCACGGTACAGGCTCCATCGCAGTGACCGGTGGTCGAGTCGTGGAGGTGTGATTGTGCATTCTCTGTTGCAGCAACAGCTTCTCACCCAGCAGACAGGAACCTCCCATTCTGAGTTGGCCTCTCCCTGCTGGAGGGGACCCAGGATGAGCTGCCGTGACCCCTCCTGCTGGGCCTGGCCCGGGAATGCTGGTCCTGAGCCGACACTTGGGGCTGGAGGCCCCCCCGGAGCAGGGGGAGCTCCCCTGGGTAGACACAGTGCTCTCCTGTGGGAAGACGCCCTGCTGGCCACAGCAGCGCACACATTTGCTGGAGGTCTTACGGGAAAGCATGTCTGAGTCCGGAGATTCTCCGCGGATGCTGGGGAAAGGCAGCCGCCAGTGGGAGGGAAATAGAGCTGAGCCCACCAGTAGGCAGGCAGCAGGCCCAGGATTGAAAGTCCCTGAGTAGCTGCCCCAAACGGGGCTGACAGAGTCGCCGAGGCGGACAGCAGTCAGGGCCAGCTGTGATGGTGGTGGTGGCCCACCCCAGGGGCTGGCTTGTGTGTTCTGCATGAGGAGACAAAGGCGGAGCGAAGGACTGCCACCGGCTCCGCCAACAGAAGGCGCATTGTGGGACTGTGGCCCAGACCCTGGGAGGCAGATGTGCTGCTGGGAGGGGCAGGTGGGCTGAGCTGGCCAGCGAAGGGTCCGTTTTGCAGCCTGAATCTTGCCGAGCTAAGCTATGTGCGTGGGGACTCAGTCCCAGCCCTGCACAGGACTGGAGGCCCCAGGCTGGGCTCGCCCGTGCCAGCACCAGCAGACCCCTGGCTGGGGTGGGGGTGGGAAGTTTCTGTCCTGGCCTTGGCCAAGCGTGGAGGTAAGTGGGGCTGCCAGCAAGAAGCTGGGACCAAACCAGTTGTCTCCTGAAGCCTGAGGGGTGTGAGCTGGGAGTAGAATCCTCTAGTTCCTGAGGTTTTGGGCGCTCAGTGACCATTGCTGATGCGGCCTTCAGACGAGGGACGGTGAATGCAAACTACCCTTGGTTGGCCATCACTCTTATTAATTCCAAAAAACATTTACATATTGTTTTCATTAAATACATCGGAAAAGATTGCCACCTCACTAACTCATATAATAACTAGATTATAATTATGGTGAACATTTATTGAACTTTTATGGGAGCATAGAGCCCCAAAATGCAGACACCAAGTCTTTTTGCCACTATATCACCAGACCCTAGTGCAGTGCCTGGCACACAGTAGGTGCCCAATAAATACCTGTTAAAGTATAAAAACAGGCCCGCCTGTGTGCCAGGGGTTTGGGATTCAGGGAAGAGAAGCGCAGAGAGGGGGCCCCCCTTCATTGGACGGAAGATACGTATTACTCCCACACTCTCTGAAGTCCCGTCTGGAGGCCTGGGGATGGACGCGAGGCCCGTTGGGCTTCCTCCATGTGCTGGGCCTCGCGTGCTCCCCTGTGGTCCCCGGCTGCAGGGCTGTTCCTCAAGCCGGTGTCCGAGCTGCGGGACCTCTCCAAGGAGGAGATGGTGGGCCTCTGGTGACGGTCGTCCTGCAAATGCCAAGACAACTGGTAAGGACCCCTCTCTGGGTGGGGGGCTGGCCCAGGCTCTGGCTGAGGGTCCCGCTGGCAGTGGGTGGCCTTAACGCTGCCCCAGGGCCCCACTGAGGGATGGTTGGTGATGGCTCATCTCTTCCCTGCGACGTTGGCTTGTCCTTCAGTCTGGGGTGCCTGCCAAGGAGGCAATTAAGTGGGGAGCTTAGAGGTTCCCACGGGCTGAGCCCTCTCTTGTGGGGAGGAGAAAGGGAAGGGACTGGTGCTGTAAAGCCAGGCATTGTTCTCTCCCCCCCTCTGGAACCCTCCTGCCGAGAGCTGGAATTAGCATTCCAGTGTGCTTGGGCACCCCTGGGGTGGGGGTGCGGGTGCTGGGCAGGGCTGGGATCCCTGATGCTGCTGATGTGGGGCCTGCAAGGGCTGTAAGAGACCCATCCCCAAGTGTACAGGGGAATCTCTGAGAAACTATGAGCTCAGGGCTGTGCCAGGGAAACGCTTGGGGCTCCTTCCAGAGGCCCGCTGGTCACCAGAGGCCCTTGAGACCCAGACTTCAGGCCTGTGGGTCTTTCAAAGGCTCTCAAAAAGATTTTGAGACCTGAAAAAATTTTTATTGACTCCAAAATATGAAAGAAAACCCCCCTGCAAAATCAACATTACCAAATGTCTAATTGAGTGATTACAGAACAGAATAGCTAATACATAGACGCCTTTCCAAGCCCTTTATCCCTATTCTTTCATATAATCCTCACAGTGACTGGGGGTGGGGGGATGGGTAGGCGGTGGTGGTATTCCTACTTTCCATTTGCAGAGGAAACCATTGCACAGAGCAGTTAGGAAATGTGCCCTAAGTCACACAGCAGAGTTGGGATTTAAACCCAGACGGTCTGTGCTTCTCCATCCAATTCTCAGGGGCTTAAATATACGTGACCCTTGACTCGGGCACGTTCTCGTTATGTTTCACGTAGGGAAGGACCTCCGGGTCTTCATATGGCTGCCTGTTCCCCTGGTGGCACACCCTGCTTGTCACTGTAGCTTTTCCAGTGTCTCACCTGTCAACCTAGAAGTCAGGGAGGCGGGAGACCCACCCCAAATGTAGATGTCTCTGGGAAGACAGACGCTCTTGCCCTCACCTCCTCCTCCACTTCTGCCCAGACCTGGTTCCCCAGGACCCAGATCTGTAAGGAGAAAAAAAGAAATACAGGACAAGAGCTGGGGAGAGCAGGCAGGGCCTCACACAGATGAGGTGGCCTGTGGTCCTACAGCGCGCCCACTTCCTGGATGAGCAAACCAAGGCCAGAGGCTATGGCTGGACCGGGTATGTAGGGGTTGGGGGCGTCTGCGTCTCTGCAGCCAGCAGCGTCACTCAGCAGGGTTGGTGGGGCAGGGGTCCAGTCCACCCCCACCCGTGTGCCCTGCTGGCTTGTGTGACCCCCAGTGCGGAGCCTCCCATGTGTGCTGTGAACCAGGGACCCGCCCCCGTTCAGTCACTCCCTTATTCAGACCTACCATTGTACAAAAGTTGGAAGAAAACCTTTCCAGAGCTTCTCAACCTTTCTGCAATCTCAAACGAAGGAAAGGAGGGCGGGAGGGAGGTCCCTGGCCCTGGCCCAGCTCTGTCCCCTTCTGAGGTGTGAATGTGGGCATGTTCTCCTGGCGCTTCTCCAAGCCTTGAATTGCTCCTGGGAGACCTGAGGATGCCTGGGGAAGAGGCCCACCCAGTAGGTGCTCAGGGCGTGTGGGCCGCTGACGGACGCCCTGCCTTCCTGTGGCACTGGGCCCTGCGTGGGCCTCGTGAAGGGGCTCATTGCATCAGGAGAGGTGGCGGCTGATGAGGCAGAGGCGTGGCTGTGGTCACTGGCCTTCATCCCACAGCCCACGGATGCCACGGTCCACATGCTGCTGGTGAGCCCCGTACCCCCACTCACCCACCCAAAGTCCCTCCCCGGTGTCGCTGCTGATTATGTGCAGGGAACAGCCTGCTCCCACCAGGGCTTTGTGCAGCCCCTCATGGGGCCAGTGTAGACTGATCAGAGAGATCTGGGTTTGAGCCACGGCAATGGGTCTCCCAGCTGAGTGATCCTGGGCCAGTGACTTAACCACTCTGAGCCTGTTATCTGATCTGTAAGATGGGGTGGGACAAGTACCCCCGTCCTGGGCTTGGGGTGAGAAATAAGGTGCTGCAGGTAAAGCCGTTCTGGTGTCTGGCACACACAGTCCAAGGACCTTAAATGAGAGCTGCTGTTGTTATTGTCAGCAAACATACTTAATGAGTGTGAGACTAGGAAATGCACGTAAACGTAGGCCAACGATTCCTAGTAACACATGAGACCTCATTTAGCCCTCACCTTCCAAGGTGCCCCTGTGAAGCCCGTGTTCTTACTGAGGCCCAAGGCGGCCTGGTAGCTCGCCCCAGGTGACGTGGCCGCTCTCCTTTCTCCGGGGGCATGTCCTCACTGCCTGGGGACACTGTCGCCTGTTGCTCACCCTGGGGCCCAGCTGGCAGTGGGCGACAGGTGGGGAGTGAACACCCTCCAGAACTGGTCCCCGGGAGCGTCAGCGGCCCCTGCGCCGGGGTGGGGGTTCTCCAGCAGGGGTGCTCCGTCTCTCAGGCCCCGCCAGGGCCCAGCCTGCGTGGTTCAGGCACCGTCTGGCTCTTCTTGGCTCCCACCTGCCCCTTTGTTGGCAGGAGAGCTGCGGCTGACTTAACAGCTCCAGATCCCAGCTCTGTGCCCCACCAGGATGGCCTCGGGCAGGGCGCTTAACTTGTCTGTGCCTCAGTTTCCCCGTCTGTGCAGGGGAGCTTGTAGAGTTAGCAGACTGAGTCGTGATGTGTGCCAAGGGTTGTGTACGGGGCTCATGTCGCTGCTGTGACCACTTGTCAGGGGCACGCAGTGGGCACAGCACGCAGGGTCCCTGTGCTTACGGAGCCCAGAATCTTCCATCACCTGCCTCAGGAGGGTCTCATCCCTCGAGACCAGGATTTGTGCCTCTCGGGACTGTATGTGCCCCTTCTCTCAGCCTGTCCACGAGGATGTGCGTGTGCGGGGTGTGAGCAGGGCGTGTGTGGGAGGGGGGCGTGAAGGCTTGCTTTGTGCAGCCTAGAAGGGGCAGTGGAGGAAGCGGGTAGGAGACAGGGAGAAACAGGGAGAGAGGAGGAGAAGGGAGATGGAGGGAAGGCAGGAGGGTATTTTAATTTTAATTTTATTTTGGAATAATGTTAGATTTACAGGAAAATTGTAAGGTAGTAGAGAGAGCTCCCGCGTAACCGTGCCGTTTCCCCACTGTGGACACGTTGCGTGCTAGGTGTAGCCGGCTCAGCTAGGGAACTGACGTTTACTATGTTCCCTATACGTTACCAAACTCCCTGCTCGCGTCCCACCGGTTTCTCCACAAAGGTCCTCCGGTCCAGGTTCCATACGCTGTAGTGAGGTGTGTGTGTTTTTAACTACATTTTAAACCATACACTCAGGGGACTAAGCATCCAATCTGACGTTTTTATACCCGAGTTCACCTGCGTAACCAGCCCTAGAACAAGATGTAGCGCATTTGCGGCTCCCTGAAGGCGCCCTTCTGCCCCTCCCAGTCGGTGACCTCAGAGGGTTGCAGATTCTGACCTTTCCAGCCACTGGTCCATCTTGCGTGCTCTGTATGTTCCCGCCCTGGGCTCTTGTGCACCCGGAGTGTGCTGCGTCCCACGGCTGGGCCCTGCCCCGTCGCCTCTTTGCTCCTCCCTCTCTTCCTGTCGCTTGGGTGAAATCAGCCTAGCCTGTTCTAGCTGGTGCTTCACGCCCGAGGGCAGGACGCCTCCTGTGCTTTCCTGGTTTATTGTTTGGCCTTTTGGGGAGAGTTGGTGTGGAGAAACGAGATTGAGTTCCGGGCAAGTACTCAAGTCGTACTGAACAAGGGAAATTGGTTGCATGAGGGTGTCACAGAATTAGGAATAATTTTATCTTTCCATCAGAATATTTTAAACAGACTTAATTGAGTGTAACTGACCCCTTTTTAAGTTAGAGCCTTTTGCATTAGGATCTGGTGCTCTGATTCTTGTGAAATCGAGGAAAGCTGCCAGTTCTGGGCAGACCCCCAGGGCTGCCATCTACCGAGCAGGTCATTACTGTCCGCTCCGCTCTCGGAGCCCAGGCCTGACGCCAGCCCACCTGTCCCCCGCCTGCAGCTCCCAGCTGGGCCTGGGCTCCCAGCCCGTGGCTCCATCTGCCCCGCCTCCCCGGGGCCCTCCCATGCTTCGGGCTCCCTCTTTGTCCTCTGAGGGCCCGAGTCTGCCCTGCCTGCCCCCCAGCAGCCTTCTGGGGAGGAGCAGGCAGCAGCAGAGACCTCTGGCAGGCAGGAACCTCCTCCTGCACATCTGAGCGGCTTTTCGCCATAACCCCTGCCTTCCCATCTGCGCTCGCGTTCCCTCTTCTGTGTTAGGAAAACAAGTGTTTGTTTTCATTTGCCAAATCTAGAATAGCTTTGTGCTTTTCCAAGCCACACATGATCCCTCCTTTCAAAGAGAAAACACATACCAGCACTCACATACATTTACTCTGAGGACACTCTCAGGGGAACATAAAGGGGCACATATCCACACGGGAACACACATCTGAGCGCACCCACACACCAAGACATCCTGAAACACACCAAGACTCACACATGTGCCTGGGTATACACACAGACATGCCACACATGTACACACACACAAACATGCACACCAGGACAGTCACACACCCACGCACACGCACACCAGGATACACTGGGACGCGTGTGTTCACCTGGGGACTCATACCCAGGTCACGTCCTGGGATATGCATATACGCTGACACATGCACACCCAGGGGGATCCCCCCCCCCCCACTCACACATGGAGACACCCTCACATGAGCACACAGACCTGGGTAAGAACATGAATCCAGGGGGAGCAGAGAGCTGGTACAGAGGTTCCAGGCTGTCCTAAGCTGCCAGGCCGTCCCTGCTCCGGGGTGGTTGGGCATAAGGAAGACTGTGCTGCTTGGACCTGGTGGTCACGAGTGAGCCCAGGATACGTATTGTGAGAAGCAGCATGTCTGGGAAGGAAAACCCTGGCCCAGACCCTCCACAGCTAGGCTGTGGCGCCACCACTTTCTGGCTGGGTGACCTTAGGCAAGTTACTTAACCTCTCAGTGTGTCCAGATGAAAGCAGGTGATGATGCGTGACGCGTCGGCAGCGGAGCTGGCACACAGGGAGCGCCGTGTAAGTGTTGATTAAATACATCTTCCTTGCTTTTCCTCCAAGAGATCTAGAGCCAGTGCTCCCCTGCCTGGCTTCAGTGTGGCTGCGTCTGGCGGGGCTCTGCCAAGCAGCTGGCATGACCCCAGTCCTGGCAGCCTGTGCTGCTTGCTGCCATGCAAGGCCCTGGAAGACCTGGCCTGTTTGAGCTGGGCGGGTGGGGCAGTTTGGTCCCCAAAGGAGGAAGGGGGTCTCCTACTCCTCAGAGAGCCAGGCCCAAGGGGCCCCTGCATGTCCTTCCAGGCAGGACGGGCAGAGGGAGTGTCTCAATTTTTAGGCTATTTTCCAACTGCTTAAAAAACACAGCTGTTAATAAAAATGAAATGATCTAAGCTTGCAATTAGAGAATTTATATTAAAGAAATTAAAGACAAAGGTAATAGATATTCAATTCCTAATCCTGTTACGGCGTGCTTGCGTCCCTGCCTCTGGGCGTGTTTATGTTGGCCACGTGCCTGTGTGGACCTGGCGCTGTGCATGCTGCTGACAGCACCGTTCTTCCCAGCTCCACGGCCAGCGAGCTGGCTGAAATCGGCCCTGGTGGGGGCATTTACACCACGGAGATTGGCACATGCCACACAGAGGGCTTTCTTCCTGCTGGGTGGGGCATTTGCTAACCATTGACCCTAACGCCTCTGGACGTGCCCTTCCATGTGGTTCTTTCATACTGACCCAGAGCCAACTCAGTATGGAGTCTCTAATTTGAGCAAGTCCTCTCCCCTTTTCATCTTTTTGCCCAACTTCCTATCAAGACCCTGAGGGACGAGTAAAGCCGGGAGGGGTGCCCTGCAACCCCCACCATGCATAGGATCACAGCGTGGTCCCAGTCACCCTGCCCGTCGCCCCAGCTGACAAGCCGGGTCACAGTGGCCTGGGGGCTCCCTCCCAGAATAGGAGTCCGGGAGTGTCATGGGGAAAAGCAGCCTGGTTGGGTGGCAGGGCCTGGAGGACGGCCCAGCTTGCTTGATTTCCATTTCCCCGCTCTACACAGAGGGACTGTGACCTGTCCTTGGGGTCACCCGGACCCTGGAGAGATGGCTTGTCTCTCGTGCAGCTTTGCCAAAAGGGGGAAGGCAGGTCGGTACGAAAAGCCGGCCCGTCGCTTCGCCCACTGACTGCAGAGAGAGGACACTGGTTCTGCATCTGGCACGTGTTCCCCATCCGGGGAGAAGCTGTGCCGCCATGCAGGGTCTGATGGTTCGACTGCGGTTCGCCACCATGTTCTGCTCGGAAGGCCTCATCACCCCCATCCCGCTCCCCCAAACTGGTGATTTAGCCCAGGGTTTCTCAACCTTGGCACTGGTGACATTTGGGGCCGAGCCATTCTTTTTGTGAGGGGCTGTCTGGTATATTAGGGGATGCTGAGCAGCACCTCTGGGCTTTGCCCATTAGATGCCAGCACCGCTTCCCAGCATGGCAACCAAAACTTTCAGACAATTGTCAAATGTCCCCTGCCCCATCGGTGCTGTTTCCCATCTGCCATGCACATAAGAAATGCTCCCTGTGGCGCCACCACAGACCAGGTTACTCACTGCAGCCTTCTTGGCCACCCCCAGACCCTGCTGCAGGCCCCGGGGGCCAGCCCTGGCACCTTCCTTGGCCTCTCAGCCCTGGTACACAACCTCTGTGCCTCACTGGATGGGCCCTGCGGGTGGCTGACCAGGTGAGGACGGTGGGGCCCATGCCAAGCGCTGAGCCACAGGCTGAGTGGGTGAGGCCAGGCACCCTCACCAGGCCTCAAGGCCCTGCCGCCATCTGGTTTCAGCTCCAGCTTGTGCTGAAGGCGATTGGCAATGCTGGCCTGGCGGCCACAGCAGCCACCCCCATGCTGAGCACTTGTGCATCCCTGAGGAGCTGCCCCCTGGAGATTCGGCTGGGAGCCATCCATGCTTTCCGGAGGGTTCCCTGCTCACCAGTGGTATTCACTGGGGTTGTGATGGGTGGTGGTGGATCCTAATGACAGCTTCTTAACTCACTTCATCCATCACATATTTATTGAGCACCTATAAATATGGGCACTGGGTCAGGCGCTGGAGTGACTAGGTGCCCAGGTGTCTGTGGTCACGGACGCTGTATCTGGCACAGGACGCAGAAGCTCATTAAATAAACATATGACTACAAACCAAGAATGAGCCCCACTGTGCTGCAGACCCTCTATTTCAGGGTCGGCGAGCTGTGGTCCATGGGCTACATCTGGCCAGCTGCCTGTGTTGTATGGGAAGCTTTGTTGGAGCACAGCCGTGCCTGCTCATTTGTGTGTTGTCTGGAGCTGCATTCTTGCTATGACTGCAGAGCTGAGTAGCTGCAAGAGCCTTCATGCCCCCAATGCCAATAAAATGTACTTTGTCTCTTCACAGGAAAAGCTTGCCAACCCCTAGACTGGTGACCCCCTTCTCACTTAGAGTCAAAGCCGAAGTCCTTACTCAGACCTACCAGGCCCTTTCTGAGCTGACCACGAGCCCACTAGCGCCTCTTGGTTCCCTCACCTACCTCCCTTGACCCCCATTCCTCTCCAGCCACGCTGGGCTCTCTGTTGTTCTAATACTCTGGGCTGCTCCTGCCTCAGGCCCTTTGCACAAGCTGTTCTCCCTTCCTGGAATGTCGTTCCGCTGGATGTCTCCAGGCTTCACCTCTTCACCTCCTGTAGGTCTCTGCTTAAAAATCACTCTCACTGTAGGGTCCTCCTTGGCTCTTTCACCTGAAACGAATCTACCAGGTCCCTTACACTTCTTGCTTCCCCATTTTATTTTTCCCTTTTCAGCGTTTATCACCCTTAATGTATTATGTATTTCACATATTAACCTTGCTTACTGTCTGTCTCCCTGCACTAGAATGTACGCTTCAGGTGGACAGAATCTGGGTTTGTCTTGCCCACAATTGTCACCCAGCACCTAGCACAGTGCTAGACACATAGTAGGTGCTTAGTAAACATTGCCATATGAGTAGATGGCTGGATGGCTGTGCGATGAGGCAAACTAACTGGCTGAGGGAGAGAGTCACGGGGTAGTGGGGAGGTGGCTTGCTTAGGAAGGGGGTCAGGGTGAGCCAAGCCCTTTAGAGCACACCTTTAGAGCCCTTAGTGTCAGACGCTGTGCTGTTTTGGTAAGTAATTTATTGGAATGCACCCACCCCTGCTTATTCACCTGTTGTCACCAATGGAAATGGGCACGGCTGCGGGATGGTGGAGAATCTGCCACCTCCCACAAGTGGGCCACAGGTGAGAGTGCCGGGGAGCAGTGGAGATGTTGGGACAGCCGGGCCCAGGCAGCGGGGCTGCCTGCTGGAGCCAGGGCAAGTCGGGACAGCGTGCTCCTGGGTGCAGGTGGAGGGCCCTGGGTGATGGCCTTCCCTCTGCCCAAGCCAGCGATCTGCGCTCTCCCGCCTGTACCAAAGCCCCGAGGAGGACGCTGAGATCCACATCCATGCCGACCTGGCCCCGATGAGGTGCCCTGGAGAGGAGGTGTTTGCCCAGGTGCAGCACATGCAGGAAGGCGAGCGGCCCACCCAGGGTGAGCAGCAGTGGCGGGTGAGGGGTTGGGGCTGGGGGGCCGGGCCCGGGCACCCCCTGGCGGGCGCAGGGGCTTGGGTATGCACTTCTTCCACCCCTCCGGTGTCCTCCTGTTCCCTTCCCGTTTCCCTTCTCTTGCCGCACCATCTGGACAGGTGCCTTTGCCTGTCCCCTATCACTCAGGTGGCAGTTAGACAACCTCGGACACGTCGCTTCTCCTGTCTGGTCCTGTTTCCTCATCTGTAAAATGGGATGAATCACCGAGTTCCTTTGTAGCTCTGGGCAGCTTGTGGCAGTGCCTGGAAGAGAGGCCCAAGAGAGGGGAGAGGCAGTGTCCGAGAATCTCAGATCCCTTCCGGGGTTAGAGACCCTTTTAAATGGGGGACCTCTGGCCATAGTTCCTAAACCCAAAGCTGTAACTCCAAAAAACAAGTTCAACTCATCTTCAAAAATTTATTCCATAATGCATGATGTGTTGAGAGCCTAGAGCCTGACAGCTCAGTTCAAACCCTAGTTCAGTCCCTTCCTGCTTGTGTGTCTTTGGGGCAAGTTACCAAACTTTTGTGAGCCTCTGTTTCTACATCTGTGAAATGGGGATAATAACAGTGCTTCCCTCATATAGGGAGCATAAAATGAGTTAATATAAGAAGAGATTTAGAGCATTTTAAGTGCTGTATATGTGCAGCTGTTGCTTTCAATGTTATCACTTCTGCCATTATTGAAGGATAACCTTGTGATTAAAGTTTCAAAGCAGATGGCAAGGTATAAATGGAAAGTTAAAAGCATCCTTCCTCTTCCCATGACCCTCAAGGCCCATTTCCTGAAGGCATGCACTGAGAACAATGTTCTTGTGTGTCCCATCAGCACTTGTAGTGAATAGTCAAGCATATGCATGTATCGCCTTAACAACGGCAACTCAGGGTCATGTTATACGTGCTGTTGTGCTTCTTGCTTTTTGCCGTCATTGTTTCCAGGAGCTTTTTCCACATCAGGGCATATGGACTCTTATCTATGGATGCTTGGTGTTCCTTGCAGGAGCTTGCACCATAATCCATTTTACCAGCCCCCACATGATCGGTATTTAGATCATTTCTGGTCTTTTGCCATGAGAAGCAATAACCAAAATGAACGTCTACCATAGGCCATTGTGCTACTCTAGCTGTAGGATAATTTCCCAGGAGAGAAATAGCCAAGACAAAGGGTGTACACATTTAAAAGTCTGATGTGATGCTGCTAAATTACCTTCTAAAGAAATGGCAGCCCCCTCTAAAGGAAAAGAAATGGTACTGCTAGAAGATCTTTGGCAGTTTTAGGGATCAGATGAAATATGTATGGGATGGGGCTGGGGGCTGTTTGGTATCAAGCAGATCACTAAGCCAAGCCTCCTCGTAGGGGATCAGCCACGGGACTCAGCCTCCATGGACGCCCTGGGGTACCAGGCTTGTGCATTGCCCAATAGGACCAAAAGCCAGATTCAGCTCTAATCCATGCCCAGCTCCCTGCTGGGCATTCTGAGAGCCTGTGACAACCAAGAAGAGTGAAGGTTCCCAGTTAGACTCTGATATCCCCCACTGGACTCTTTCCCATTGATGTTCTTACTTAATTTTTACCCCTTCAGAGATTCTGAGAGGGTCTCCATCAAGCATACTCAGTCCTTTAGGTCCAGGCTCACCTCTTGACTGATCTCTACAAACATCCTTGGGAGATGGGTTGTTCTTTCATCATACAGATGAGGATGCTAAGGCTCAGAGAGGTGGAGTGGCTGAGGTCACACAGCTCATAGGTAGTTAGAACTAGCATTTGGACTCAGGCCTTTGAAGCTAGGGCTTTATACCTTGTTTTCCCTTCCAGAAAGCACATCAGAATGCTGTGGCCAGGCCAGATTTCCAAGTTTCGTTAAGAAACTTAATTAAATTGCTGTTTGCCACTGTTTCTTCAAAGAGAGGAAACAGTCTCAGTAACTAGGCTCCTGAGAAGCCCCCGGCATGTGGACACCGCAGGACCCAGGATGGGGGCTGGTGGGGAGTGTGTTTTCTGGGCTGTGCCGGCTCCAGGCCCATCCCTCATTGTCCTCCTTTCCCCTCCCCGCTCTGTGACTGACTGCAGTGGGCTCCTTTGTATGGAGTCACCTCCTGCAGCTGCTGGAGACAGGGGACCCCCTCCGGGAGGCCCTCCCCAAGGACATCCTCAGCCGGGAGTTCCGCCCAGAGACCTGGAAACACTCATCCTGTCCTGATGTCACCTTCTGCTCAAGTTTGGCCATCCTGGGCAGCCTCAGCCCCACTTGGGGCTAGAGAGTCTCGGGGACCTGGGAGCTCTAACCCTTGAGGACATGTGGATCTATCGAAGATGCTATTTTCCTTGTCAAATGTTTACGTGCTACCTGCTCGAATTTTTGCTATATTCCTGTGGTTGGAGGAGGTAAAACATAGTTAACTATCAGCCATTTCAGGGTGTTCAACTGGGTATTTCCAAATTTTATCTAAACTGGTTCTTTTTTTTTTTGGAATTTTTTTATTAAGGTATCATTGATATACATTTTTACAAAGGTTTCACATGAAAAACAATGTGGTTACTACATTCAGTCATATTATTGAGTCCTGTCCCCACCCCCCATTGCAGTCACTGTCCATCAGTGTAGTAAGATGCCACAGAGTCACTATTTGCCTTCTCTGTGCTACACTGTCTTCCCCGTGACCCCCCACACCATGTGTGCCAATCATAATACCCCTCAATCCCCTTCTCCCTCCCTCCCTACCCGCCCTCCCACACCCCTCCCCTCTGGTAACCGCTAGTCCCTTCTTGGGGTCGAAACTGGTTCTTTTTAACTTGCATCTACTTTAAAGGAAACTTTGTATCATTACCATTAATACAAAATCAGTTTAATTCTTAAAGAATAAGCTAACCCTAAAAAGAAATGATAGCGAAACAGTGGTAAATACAGATTCTGTCACCTGCTGAGGGCTGTGAATTTGAGAACAGTTTCTCCCTGTGGTGAAAAGCGACATTAGCACCAAACTCAGACAGCTGCCTTTTTGTTGTAATTAGAGAATCAAAAAGGGAACCCCATTCTAGCTCAGCACCTAAACTGCCTGAACCAGTCTGGGAAGAAGAGGGGCAGGGTGTTCTGGCTGCCCCCTCTCTGCCTGTGAGCAGATGTGGGTACATTTGTGACCCTTCTGTCCAGCCTCCTTCCCTCTGTCCTTGCTAAGGCTATTCAGGGCCGCCCATCCTGACCGAAAGGACGCGCCACGTGCCTGGCCCTGTCTCAGGCTGTGGCCTGGCGGGCCCTGCCCTGTGAGGGGTGTGCAGTATACTGATCCTGTCTCTCTTCTCCTAGCATCTGGCAGCCTGGGAGCCACCCTGGAGGGGACCCTTCTCTTTTCTCCAGCCTCCTTCTTGCCCCGTTCTGCCACTGCTAACCCGACCGTCCACACCCTAGGCCATGCTTTCAACCTCCTGGAGGTAAGAGGGGCCCTTGGTTAAGGGCCTTGAAGGAAAATGGTAAGACGGAGGGCGGAAGGGGAGCAGGGTCGTGACCTGGGAGATTTTAAGCAAGAGAGTGACCTAGTGTGATTTGGACCTTCTGGCGGTTGAGGGGAACATGGATCATGGGATTCAGGGGTGGAAGAGGGAACCTCTCTGAGGTCCGATGTCCAGCAAACAGTAGAGGGATGGATTACCTTGGGGCCCTTCCATCTTCTCCCAGGCCCCTGGAGCATGTCCGAGGGAGGGTGCTCTGCGCCACCCCAACCCCTTCTAATGGTGGAGAACACGGGGCTCACCATCCAGACTTGGCTGACTGGGGGGCATGGGCTTAGGTCTGCCAGGGGCTGGCCCTCTCACGATGCCCCCACAAACGCTCTCAGAGACATTTGGATGGAATGACAGGAGGCAGAATAGATGGAAGGGAAGGTGTCTGGAAGGACAAAAGAATGGGTGGGTGGGTGGGAAGGCGGAAAGAATGAATGAACAGGTGGGTGGATGGATGGGCAGATGGAAGGAAAGAGGGGCAGAAGGGAGGGCTCATCTTTGATCCATCAAATTTTTAGAACCAACCTGGCCATGTGTATTTGTATTTATATATCCAGAAAGAGATTTATTGTAAGGAATGCACTCACATGCTCACTGCTTGACTCAGTCTATTGATTTAAATGTAAGACTCATCCAAGAACACTTACAAACACCGAAATAACGTGTGACCAAATATCAGCACCCTGTGACCCTGTCAAGTCAACACAAAATTAACCATGTCACCAGGCTGTGCCTACTGCATGAGACGTGGATTCCTGCCTTCATGGATCTCAGGATCTTGGCAAGGGAGACATGCAGATTAGTGCCTGGGTGGGACCTTGGAGGGTGTGCTGGATGCTCAGAGGAAGCAGTGATAAATTTGACATAGCGACAGGGAATGTGGGGAAGGAGTGACATGGGAATTCAAGGAAGACTTCCCAGAGGTGGTGACATTTGACCCAGGCCTCAAAGAGTGGGATAGAATTCTTGCTATGAGGCAGTTGCCAAGCAGATGCAAAGCTTGATGATCCCCAAGGTTGGACCCCAGGGAGCCCAGGATGCCAGGCTCAAGCTGCTAGGCCCCCTCTTGGAGCCCCAACTCTTGGTCACCCATGTGGCTGAATCATATTTCCTGAGCCACACGCTTCCCTTCCCACATGGGGCTCTGGCTGGAAAATGCAGAGGAAATCGCCTTCAGGCTGTTTGGTCAGAAGTCATTCTGGGGGCAGGAGGAGGAGAGAGAGGCCCAGCCAGAGAAGTCCCCAGAACCACAGCCCACACCCCAGAAGGCCAACCCTGACTGTCCAGGACAAAGATCCAGAAAGATGAGCGCCGTGCAGCAGGAGGTAAGGGGAGCGCCCACACCCACCTCGCTCCCACCCTCACCAGCTCGGGCTTTTGTACGGGGGCCTCAGGTGTCAGCGAGCTCTGACCCTGCCCCCTCCCAAGACCCCATACAGAAATAAGCTGCTTGTCCAGATCTGAATAGTCAGTGGTTTGCCGGCCTTATTTTGAAAAACTGTTTATTGAAGTATCACGTATGTATAGAAATGTGCCACATCACAAGTACATTTACCAATGGAATCCATCCCTGTTACCAGCAGCCAGACCATCGTCAGCACCCCAAGGGCCCCCCCTTCTGGCTACAGGCCCCTAACCAAGGGTAATCACTATTCCGACTCCTGACAGCATTGACTCGTTCTGCTTTGTGAAGGTGTAACGGACCTACAATAAACAGCTTGAGCTTAGAGTGTAACAGTTTAAGTGTGTACCATGAAACCATCCCTGTCATAACGCTAATGAATGTCGCCATTACCTGCAGACGTCTCTTTGTGCTTCTTAATAACTCCTTCCTCCCACTCCACCCCAATCCCTGGGAACCACTGGGAGGAGTTGACGCTATAGCTGAGTTTGCATTTTCTAGAATGTTATGTAAATGGCATCATGCAGCAGGTACGTTTTTTTTTTTATTAAAATATCATTGATACAGAATCTTACAAAGGTTTCACATGAACAACATTGTGGTTTCAACGTTCATCCGTATTATCAAGTCCTCACGCCCTCCGCATTGCAGTCACTGTCTATCGGCGCAGGAAGATGCTATAGAGTCATCACTTGTCTTCTCCGTGCTGTACCGCCTTCCTCCTGACCTGCCTATATTGTCATTGCTAATTATAGTGCCCCTTAGTCCCCTTCTCCCTCCCCACCCACTCACTCTGCCCCACACCTCCCCTTTGCTAATTGCTAGTCCCTTCTCCCCGAGTCTGTGAGTCTGCTGCTGTTTTGTTCCTTCAGTTTTGCTTTGTTCTTATACTCCACTAGTGAGTGAAATCATTTGGTACTTGTCTTTCTCCACCTGGTTTATTTCACTGAACATAATGCCCTCCAGCTCCATCCATGTTGTTGCAAATGGTAGGATTTATTTTCTTCTTATGGCTGAATATACTCCATTGTGTATATGTACCACCTCTGCTTTATCCATTCATCTACTGATGGACCCTTAGGTTGCTTCCATATCTTGGCTCTTGTAAATAGTGCTGCTATAAACAGGGGTGCATATGTCTTTTTGAATCAGGGATCTTTTTTGGGGGGGGGGTAGATTCCTAGGAGTAGAATTCCTGGGTCAAATGGTATTTCTAGTTTTAGTTTTTTGAGGAACCTCCATACTGCTTTCCACAATGGTTGAACCAATTTATATTCCCATCAACAATGTAGGAGGGTTCCCCTTTCTCTGCATCCTCGCCAGCATTTGTTGTTTCTTGTCTTTTGGATGCTGGCCATCCTTACTGGTGTGAGGTGATACCTCATTGTGGTTTTAATTTGCATTTCCCTGGTGATCAGGCATGTGGAGCATGATTCCCAAGGCTGTGTCCCTTTGCTTGGGTCCGGGTGGACCCTAGGGACCCCAGGATGCCACGGGCCTGTTGACCATCGTATTTCTTTTTTGGAGAAGTGTCTGTTCAGATCCTCTGCCCATTTTCTATTCGGGTTACTTGTTTTTGGGGTATTGAGTCATGTGAGTTCTTTATATATTTTGGATGTTAATCCCTTATTGGATAAGTTGTTTACAAATATATTCTCCCATACTGTAGGATGCATTTTTGTTCTGCTGATGGTGTCCTTTGCTGTACAGAAGCTTTTTAGTTTGATGTAGTCCCATTTCTTTATTTTTTATTTTGTTTCCCTTGCCTGAGGAGATGTGTTCAGGAAAACGTTCCTCACATTTATATTCAAGAGATTTTTGCCTATGTTTTCTTCTAAGAGTTTTATGGTCTCATGACTTAGATTCAAGTCTTTGATCCATTTTGAGTTTACTTTTGTGTAGGGAGTTAGAATCTAGTTTCATACTCTTACATGTAGCTGTCCAGTTTTGCCAACATGATTTATTGAAGAGACTGTCTAGAATTCTGCATTTTATATCCATGGCTCCTTTATCCTACATTAATTGGCCATATGTGTGTGGTTTTATATCTGGGCTCTCTATTCTGTCATTCTATGGGTCTGTTCTTGTGCCAGTACCAAATTGTTTTGATTACTGTGGCTTTGTACTAGAGCTTGAAGTTGGAGAGCATAATCTCCCCAGCTTTATTCTTCCTTCTCAGGATTGCTTTGGCTATTCGGGGTCTTTCGTGGTTCCATATGAGTTTTAGGACTATTTGTTCTAGTTCATTGAAGAATGCTGTAGGTATTTGGATTGCATTAAGCTGTAAGATTGCCTTAAGCAGGACAGGATGGCCATTTTAACAATATTAATTCTTCCTACCCAAGAGCATGGGATGAATTTCCATTTATTAGTATTCTCTTTAATTTCTCTCATGAGTGTCTTGTAGTTTTCAGAGTGTAGGTCTTTTACCTCCTTGGTTAGGTTTATTCCTGGGTATTTTATTCTTTTTGATGCAGTTGTAAATGGAGTTGTTTTCCTGATTTCTCTTTCTGCTAGTTCATTGTTAGGATATAGGAATGCCACAGATTTCTGTGTATTAATTTTGTATTCTGCAACTTTACTGAATTCAGTTACTCTAGTAGTTTTTTGGTAGATTCTTTAGGGTTTTCTATGTACAATATCACATCATCTGCAAACAGTGACAGTTTAACTTCTTCCTTACCAATCTGGATGCCTTTTATTTCTTTGTGTTATTTGATTGCTGATTGCTGTGGCTAGGACCTCCCGTACTATGTTGAATAAAAGTGGGGAGAGTGGGCATCCTTGTCTTGTTCCTGATAATAGAGGAAAAGCTTTCAGCTTTTCACTGTTCAGTATAATGCTGGCTGTGGGTTTATCATATATGGCCTTTATCATGTTGAGGTGCTTGCCCTTTATACCCATTTTGGTGAGAGTTTTTATCATGAATGGATGTTGAACTTTGTCAAATGCTTTTTCAGCATCTATGGAGATGATCATGTGATTTTTGTCCTTTTTGTGGATGTGGTGGATGATGTTGGCTGATTTTCAAATATTGTACCATCCTTGCACCCCTGGAATAAATTCCACTTGGTCATGATGGATGATATTTTTGGTGTATTTTTTAATTCAGTTTGCTAATATTTTGTTGAGGATTTTTGCATCTATGTTCATCAGGGATATTGGTCTGTAATTTTCTTTTTTTGTGGTGTCTGTCTGGTTTTGGTATTAGAGTGATACTGGCCTCATAGAATGAGTTTGGAAGTATTCCTTCTTCTTCTACTTTTTGGAAAACTTTAAGGAGGATGGGAATTAGCTCTTCTTTAAATGTTTGATAAAATTCAGCCATGAAGCCATCTGAGCCAGGAATTTTGTTCTTAGGTAGTTTTTTGATTACCAGTTTGATTTCAGTGCTGTTCATTGGTCTGTTCAGATTTTCTGTTTCTTCCTGGGTCAGTCTTGGAAGGTTGTATTTTACTAGGAAGTTGTCCATTTCTTCTAGGTTGTCCAGCTTGTTGGCATATAATTTTTCATAGTATTTTCTAATAATTCTTTGTATTTCCATGTCTGTAGTGATTTTTCCTTTCTCCTTTCTGATTCTGTTTATGTGTGTAGATTCTTTTTTTCTTGATAAGTCTGGCTAAGGGTTTACCTGTTTTGTTTATTTTCTCAAAGAGCAGCAGGTACTTTTTAAAAATCATGTATTCTTTTTTTGTTTGTCCAACTTCTGTTCAGCATAATTTGAGATTCATCCTTGTTGCAGGGTATACTAGTAGTTTATTTATTTTTGCTGCATAGTATCCATTGTACGGATAAATTACAGTTCATGCATTCACTGGTTGATGGTCATTTGCGTTATATCCAGTTTGGGGCTGTTACAAATAGAGCTGCTGTGAACATTCATGGACAAGTCTTCATATGAACATATGTTTTCATGTCTTGGGCAAGTCTCTAAGCATGGGATGGCTCAATCATATTGTAGTTATATTTTTACATTTTCAAGATATTGGTAGACTGTTTTCTAAAGTGGTTGTACTATTTTGCATTCCCACCAGCCATATGAGAGTTCTAGTTCCCTCACATCCTTACCAACACTTGGTAGAATTAGACTTTTTAATTTTTGCCATTCTAATCATGTGTAGTAGTATCTTGTGGCTTTAATGCACATTTTCCTAATGACTAATGATGAGCAATTTTTTTGTGTGCTTGTTTATCATCCACATGTCTTCTTTGGTGTAGCGTACTTTCAAATATGTTGTCCATTTTAAGACTTGGATTGCTTTCTTATTACTGAGTTTTGGGAATGGTGTGCTCCTTCACTTTTTTCACAGTGTCTTTTGAAGAGAAAAAGTTCTTGATATGCACAGTGCTTTGGGTGTTATGTCTAAGAAACCTTTGTCTAGTGTAATGTCAGAGAGATTTTCTTGGGACCCTCTGTAGATCTCCAGAGTTCTTTCTGTGCAGAGGTCTTCCCACTCCTGCACTCAGCCCTGGGACGTCCAGCCACTGTGGTCTCCCTGGACTCACAGCCCCTCAACTCGGTGATTCTTGCTTGCTTCCCAGGCCCCTCCCTGCACCTAGGTCCTGACTGCCAGGCAGTAAGCTGGGGTTTGCCTTGCTTATTTCCCATCCCTTTACATTCATTGTCCAGATTGCCTGATGTTTTGGGAGCTATAGTTTACTAATCTATTTCATTTGCTTTTCCAGTTGCTCCACATGGGAGGGTGAATCCAGTCCCTGTCACTCCAATCGGTTTTGCAGCAGAAGTCACATCCAGTCCCTTTTGTGAGTTTTCTATAAGTGGAATCATTCACCATGTAGCCTTAAAAAAAGAGCCGAAATTCACATAACAAAACTAACCATCTTAAAGCATACACTTTAGCCTGATTTAATACATTCACAAAGTTGTGTGGCTACCACCTCTATCTAGTTCAAGAACATTTCCATCATCCCCCCAAAGGAGACCCATACCCATTAGCCATCATCCCCATTCTCCTCTCTCCACCCCCCTTTCCCTGACCCCTGGCAGCCATGAAGCTGCTTTCTGTCTCTGCGGATTTACCTCTTCTGGAAGTTTCATATAAATGGCATCCTACAATAGGAGGCCAGTTGTGTCTGGCTTCTTTCACTTAGTGTCGTGTTTTGAGGTTCATCCATGCAGCATGTATCAGCACTTCATTCCTTCTTAGGGTTGAATACTATCCCACTGTATGGGTGGACCACATTATGTCTGTCCACTGATGGACATGTGGTTTGCTTCCACCTTTTGGCGAGTATGAATAATGTTATTTATGTCCTCTATTTTTGTGTCTGGCTTCTTTGGCTTCCAGTCCTGCTTGTGAGATCCATCCATGTCGCCGTGACTACTTACAGTTCGTCCATTCTCCTTGCTGTCTCATGGTCCACGGTATGGACATACCACTGTTTCTTTATCCATTCTGCTTTTGATGGGCTTTAGGGTAGTTTCCAGCTTCTGGCTTATTACAGATGGTGCAATGAGTGTTCCTGAGTATGTTTTTGGTGAATGTATTTGCACATTTCTGTCGGATATATATCTAGGTGAGGAATTGCTGGGTCACAGGGCATGTGTATGTGTAATTTCCTTGTTCACTTTATATTGTCACTTGAGGCTTTTCTTACTGAAAACTTTCTGTAAGCCTATATTTTAATACCCATTCTGTGGGTGGGGCCATATTCTACATGACCGTTCTCTCACCGGTGGACGTTTTGGTTGTTGGCACCCTTTTGAGCTTACAAAATGTGATTGCCCACTGCCATGTGCCTCTGATGGTGACCAGAGAGGGTGGCTGGGGCATTCGTTTACGTGTTCACACATTTACCAAATGCCAAGTGTGAAGCTAGGACCCAGGAACACAAAGATGATCAAGACATGGTCTCTGCCCTTGAAACTTCTCAGACTGCAGCCAGCAAAAAACTTGAATGAGGGAGGAGGGTGCGGTGCATCCCTTTGGTCTGTCATTTTCTCACTCTTGATAGAGACTCACATCTGAAGATATGTTTTGCAGAACCACAGTGATAATGGCAACAATACTTGGCCTCCGTGTTGGAGAGACAATAGAGAGTGGTGGGGACTGTGGCAGACAGAAGCACACACCCCAGTTATAAGTGGCAGCCGCTGTTTAGCTCTGGCCACTTATTGCCCCTTTTGTGGGCAGGGGTTGGCAGACCAGTACTTCTCTCTTTGGAGAAGCTGGAGATACAAATTTTATATATAATCTCCCAATGTTTAAATGTTGGAAACAAATACAATTAAAGAAGATACACACTGTGTGAAAAACAAAGACTGAGAAAGTGTGACAGCCCAGAGGAGACGGAAGAGACGTGACAACTAAATGCAAAGTGGGAGCCTGGGTTGGACCCTGGAATAGCAAGAGGACTGGAATGGAAAAGTCAGTGAAATTGGAGTAAAGTCTGGAGTTGAGTCAATAGTAGCATGGCTTCTTAGTTTGTAGTGTTGGTTTCTTAGTTTTCGTCATTCACCCTGGTGATGTCAGGTGGAAGCAGGGTGAGGAGTACTTGGGAGCTCTCTGTACCCTCTTTGCAACCTTTCTTTAAATCTAAAACTATTCTACAGTAAAAAGATGATTAAACTCACCCCCTAACACACACACCTCACTGGGCATTGGGTGGTACCATACAGGTCAAAGAAAACACAGTTGTGGGTTTTGCCTGTGGGCCCTGCATTGTGCAAGCCCTGTTCTGGACCCCACAAACCCTTGGCCTTTCTCTCCAGCTGCCCCTTCACCCCCTCAAGTCCGGGCGCCACACCTGGCCCCTGGTCACCAGCCTGGGTTCTCCATCAGGTGGGCCGGAGGCGCAGGGTGCAGCCGGCGCTGTGGTGTGAGCTGAGCGTGAAGGTGTTTGGGAACGAGCTAAGCGCTGTGAACTGCAGGGCGATGCGGAACCACGTGAAGCACCGGTCCCTGAACCTGGCCAAGCTTGCAGCCGAGCTTCTGAAGGTACCTCAGGCTTGGCCCCTCCTTGCCCTGCTGACCCCATGGCATTTCCTTTGAGGCTTTGGGGCAAGTACTCAAGTACTTTGGGATTTAAGACTGCGGCACTTGGGGCCAGACTGCCCAAGTCCAAACCACAGCTCCACCACTTACCTCCTTGGGAGTGCTGTTTGACCTGTCTTGGCCTCAGTTTCTGCGTTTGTGAAATGGGGATGGTATAATAGCAGCAGCTACCCCCATAGGGCTGTTGTATCAAATAAGTTAGTGCAGTAAAAACACAACAGTGTTTAGAATGTGCCTGGCACATACTATGTGCTCTGTACTATGGGCAGGGCTCACACCCCTGCTTACCTGGCTGACCCGGGGCTCCTGACCTCTGACCTTTCCCCACAGCAGACTGTCTGGGTTCGAATCCAAGCTCTGTATGTTTCTATCTCCTTGGGCTCGGCCGGGTTATTTTATCTGTTTGTGGGCTCAGTCTTCTCATCTGGAAGCTGGGGGTAATAGTGCCCCACTCTCCCCCTCTGGTTGTGTGAGGAGTAAGTGAGGTCGTGAATCTCGGTGCACGCCCGGCCCACACCTGGGGCTGTCATGGGCACCACCGTGGCTCTGTGGCTGCAGGGGCAGGAGGCACAGGTGAGCCGGAGGCTGAGCCTGGCTGGGGAGGAGCTCACCTTTCCCACTGTGTCCGGCCTTCCTGCCCGGCTGACCCTGAATGCCCGCCGTCAGCATCCGGGTCCGAGGGGCCGCAGACCTCCCGCAGCGCTCGGATTTCTCTGTGAATGGTTACGTCAGGCCCAGGTAGCTGGCTCCTCGCGGGGGAGGGGAGGGGTGGGGGAGGCTGCAGAGGGGTGGGGTGTCCGGATGGGCTAAGGGGCTCCCTGCTCTGCAGACCATCTTTTGTAGCAGCTACTGTTGTTTCTTTTTGTGCCAAGAGACTGGAGGTCCTGGTGGTCACGCCCACTTCACAGGTGAGGACACGGAAGCTCAGGGAGGTGAAGTCATGGGCTCGGGTTTGCGCCGCCCGTGTTCTTCCCTCGGCCGTGTTCCGATGGGGGCACCCGGGTGTCCTATGCTGGCGGCCCTTTGGTGCGAACACGTGGACTTGGGCTCAGAAGCCAGGGTTCCAGTCCTGGCTGTTCCGCATCCTAGCCATGGGACCCGAGCAGGTGGTCTCCCCTCTCTGAGTCTCAGTTTCCAATGCAGTCTGGGCCTAGTGATGGCGGGGACTGTTTGGACGATGGGTGGAGAACTTGGTTCATGTGGGGCACGCGGTCAGCAATGGCCATGGTGGAGAGCTGCTCTGGTCAGAACTGCAGAGAACCGCCAGGGTGGTGGGTGGATTGTGTGGGGCTTGAGGCCGCCTGGGGCCTGTGGGACACAGCCAGCATGTGACTCTCCCTGAGCGCCCTGCTCCACATCCTGGCACCGATGGGCACGGTGGGTGCCCTGGGGCAGGCTGGGCTGAGGTGGGAGACTGGTGCCTGTGGCACCCTCAGCCTGGACAGTGGGATGCAGGCAAGGAAGGGCCAGGGCTTTAGATGTGTCTGAACATGCCTGAGGAGGCCATGGAGCCGCTCAGCTCAGGGTGGGCCGCCTACGTCAGTGAGAGGGGGCCGGTGAGCGTGTGGGAGAGGGTGGGCGTGGGCTCACATGCGCATCTGTGACTGTGCGTATGTGTGAGCACATGGGAGTGTGTGTGCATGATCACCCGTGTCTGTGAGCATGTGTCTGACCACATGTGTCTGTATGTGTCCCATGAGCATGTGTATGTATGTGTAAGGGTGTTCCCGTGAGTCCGTGTAGGAATGAGTGTGTGGGCCTCTTTGGGAGGGTGTGTGCCTGTATGATCATGTGTGTGCGTGCCAGTGAGTGCAGTGTATCCGTGAGTGTCCCCTGGAATTCTCCGTGTATGTACATGTGTGTGTCTCTCAAGTGTTTGTCCAATGAATGAATGAAAATGACTTCTCTGGGACTTCCCTTTCTCCACCCAGCTCTAAGCTGTATCTTGTCCCTGGGGATGGCGTGAGGACCCTCAGTCACATTCGCAGCCCTTCTGAGGCCCCATTCTGTACCAACAAGGAGGGCAGGCAGCTGGGCCCTGGTGCCATTGCCGTCCCAGGATGGGCTGGGTTTGGGGGGTGGGTGGCCCTGAGGGGAATAAGGCCAGCTCCAAATTCCAGAGTTGCTCTTCTGCCCTGGAAGCTTGAAACCCCTTAACTCATCAATTCTGCTTCTAGCATTCCACCCTAATAAAATGAACCAAATTACAATGCTCCCACCCCCACCACAGAGATGCTCACTGCATCATTATTTACAAGAGCAAAAAACAGGAAGCAATTCAAATACGCAACGGTAGGCGAATGGCTCATGACAAGGGCTGGGAGCTAAGATAGGGTTTTTTCACTTTCAGATGGTTGAAAAGTGATCAAGAGAAGAATATTTCACAACATGTGAAAGATTTGTAAGACTCGTATTTCAGTGCCCAGAAATAGCTTGGTACATGGCCACACCCACTTGTTTACCCATTGCCTGGGGCTGCCGTGGTCCCACAACATCACAGTCGTGTAGTTACGACACATCACGTGAGCAGCAAAGCCGGAAATACTTCCTCTCGGCCATTTACCAAGTTTACCAACTCCTGGCTTAGTAAATAGTTGAGCTATCCTGTAACTTTTAAACCCTGTAATGAAGGAGGTATTTTAATAACATGAGAGAATTCCTCGATAAGACCATCAGGTGAAAAAGGCAATAAACCTGAAAAAGGATAAAGAGCAAAAACTCTTGTAGCTGTCATCTTAGACCATGGCAACACAGGTCTTGGTGTTGTATTTTGAATATGGCAGGGAAGGGGCCTATTTAAAGGAATTTACTATGTCAAGCTAGGCACTGTCTGGAACCCTTCTGACCTGCTGATTCTCACAGGTATACCTCGAGGCAGGAACTGTTGCCAGTTCCCGTTTGCAGGTGAGAAACACCAAGCACAGAGATGTTAAGTAATTTTCCCAAGGTCACCCAGCAGGGAAGTGGCAGAGCTTGAATTTGGACCCAGGAGCCTGTGTTCTACACGGTACTGCCCCATACTTTTAAAGTCGCCATCAGGGGTCCTCAAGCAGGGGCAGTTTTGTCTCCCCAGGACAAGTGGCAGTGTCTGCAGACATTTTTGGTAGTCATGACTGGCCTTGGGGGTGCTACTGGCATCTAGTGGGTAGAGTCCAGAGTTGCTGCTCAACACCCTAGAATGTACGGGACAGCCCCACAGTACAGAATTATCCAGCCCAATATGTCAGTGCCAAGGTTGAGAAAGCCCGGTCTACACGGAACTGCCTCATACGATCTACACGAGATTGTTTCTCAGAAGGAAATAGAGATGCTCTTTGGTCGCCATCATGAGCAGCCGTGGGCCCCCACCTGGAGCCTTGTGGCTCCTCCTGACCAGGGCTACCCACTCACCTTCCTCCACAGTGTCCCGCCCTGGGACTGGCGGCTGTGCACTGAGGTGACCTGGCCAGCACCGGGTCAGCCCTACCTGCTCTCGGTGCCTGTGTTCATGGCCGTGACATTGAAGAAGCAGGACCGGGGGCTCCATCAGTATCTCCTGGAAGCTGCCTATACCTTCCACCCTCAGGTCCCTCTGGAACCCTCTGGAATGGTCCCTTCCTTCCCAGGTAGGGGGTGGGTCTCCCTAGGTCTTCTCCTCCGGGATCCTAAGGACACGGGGCTCTTCTCAGGCTGGGCTCGACTGGTCCTGCTGCAGCCTCCTTCCTGCTGCAGGACCCTTGCACCTGCTGATCCTCTGTCTCTGTTCCTATGACCTGTTAACACTCAATCAGTCTTCATGTCTCACTTTAGGGGTCACCTTCTCAGTGAATCCTGCCCTGATTACTCCAGTGTGGTTGTACTGTCTTGTTACTTGCTCTAATGGGACCATGTTCCTTCCCCTCAGATCACTTTTATGTTTGTTACTGAAGCTGGCTGGTTAATGCCTGTCTTCCCCACTAGTCACTGAGTTCCTGGAACAAATCCAGGACCTGTTTTTCTCACCCCTGTGTCCCTGGCAGCTGGCGTAGAATGGCCACTCAACAGCCCCCTGTCTGATCTTCCGGTTCCCAGTCTTACCTCCTTACCATCTGTTCTCTACCAGCAACCAGACCCACCTCTGCAGTCCTGAAAGGACCGTGTCCCTCGCTGCTCAGAACTCTGCAGTACCTCCTCACCATCGGAGCAGGAGCCAGATGCCCTGACTGACAGGCCTCAGCGATCCTGCCCTGCCGGCCTCCCCCCGCCATTTCCCTGACCCCTTACCAGGCTCACAGCTCTCCAAACAATCTGACCTCCTGTTTTTATGCCAAGTGCATTGCTGCCCTAGGGCCTTTGCACTGACTGATCCCTCTGCCTGGAACGCTCTCCCAGGCATCTGCTTGACCGCCTCCTTCAAGTCTCCTCAAACGCTCCCTCCTCGGAGGCAGCCCTCCCTGACCACCCTGTGTGGAGCTGTGCCCCTGTCAGCGCCCCTCACCCACCGAGTCTGTCCGCAGAGCACCCATCACTGGCGCCCTCTTACTGACTCTCTGCCGGTGGTCCCGTGCCTTCTCCTGCAGCACGGAGGCACTGAGAGGCAGGACCTCGAGTATCCCAACCCCACTGTATTCCCTGTGCTACGATTACACACGCAGAATGGACGTTCTTTGGCGGTGAATGAATGTTCGTCAATTCAGGGTCTTAAACAGGGCTTGTGTCTATGCTTCATTTTTCCAGAAGCAGACCCGAGCCAAGGATTTGGGTAAAAGCGACTGACTAAGGAAAGTCTCTAGGAAGACCTACTAAGAGAGCACAGAGGTTAGGACAGGGCCAGGGAAGAAGCCCGGGTGTGCATCAGATGCAGGGGGCGCCTCAGCCTGATGCGGGCACGGGGAGCCCTGGAGCCTGAATTACACCCGAGTTTGGTCCCCCGGAGGCGAGGCGCTGGGGTCATCTTTACTCCTGTGGAAGCACTGGGGGAGGGCAGTGTCCCGAGGTCCCGGGTGCTGGGCGGGAACGGCAAAGTGTGTAAAAGCTGGGAGGTGGGCGTGCAGAGGTAGTGAAGGGGTCTGAGGGGCTCTGGGCTGGGTACCAACAGTGTGCGCCGCACCACGCTTCTCCCCGGCTATCTGCCCCGCAAAACGAGACCCCGTGTACGCGGTCCTGAGTTGCCCTGCAGGCTTTGCTCTTCTGCAGATACTATTTTAGATCCCCCCAATTCCTGGGCAAGGATGAGCTTAAGAGCTCAAATCGTTGAACGATGGGAATGAAGATTTTCTTCCGGGAAGAGGGGGTGATGCTCAGGACAGGGATGGGGTTTTCGATCTTGAGGACTCTGTTGTTTTTCCAGAAGGACAGCTGGCTCCCCCGAGAAGCCTCAGCCCCCATCTTCATGGGCACGCCCAAGTCACAAGTGCCCAGGGACGTCGGGGTGAATGTCTGCCACCGCTCGCCCCAGGGGGAGTCCCGGCTGAAGCTGCCCCATCCCAGGAAGAAAATTGAGCTGGAATAATGACAGCGCTCCTCCCTGGTCACTGTGCCCTCCCCGCGGCCAGACCCAGGGCCGGGCGCCTGCAGCATGCCCCCTCGTGGATCCGCCAGCATCCTTCCGAGGCCGCACTGAGTCCTGCCCCGGTTCTTGGGCAAGGAGCCAGGCCCAGAGGGTAGAAAACCGGCAGGATGTAGTCGCCTGGCGAATGCAGGCGCAGAGCCGGGATGTGGAACCCTGGCCCCTAAACTCTGGTTTTGTCCCCTAGGAAAGATCGAGACTCTCCTGAATGCCCGTGCGGGTCACCTGGCGCTGATCCTGGATGACAGGGATGTCCACTACATCAAGGTTTGCTCCACATCCTCAGCCCTCCTGTGCCAGCACCTGCCACCTCCCTGGGCGTTTCTGACCCCGGTCCCAGAGGCACTGCTGAATAGCCCCCATTTCCTTTGGTGTGGAGTTTTTCCCCTTTCCCCTCCCAATAACATCTGTGACTTCTTGGTGCTCAGAAATGTATACAGAAGAAAAAATGGACCCAAATCTCCCCACCATTGATGTCAAAAATTAATATCTGTGACACCAGGAACATACTTTAAAAAATTCAGAGTCGGAAAAGGCATAAACTGGTAGGTTAAAGCATGCCACTCCCCTAATTTCCAAAAGAAATCTCCATTAGTCTCCCAAGGATGCCGAACAAAGCACCCCAAACTGTGTGGCTTAAACAACAGAAATTCCGCTCACCGAGCTGGTGGCCAGAAGTCCAAGGTCAGGGTGTCGTCAGGGGCTGGGTCCGTCTGAGGCTCTGAGGGCCAATCTGTTCCAGGCTGCGATCCCCAGCGTGCAACCTCAGGCACCCTTCGGCTCGTAGACCACGTCTCACCTGTGTCTTTGCACAGCCTTCCCTCTGTAGGTCTGTCTGTCCAAACTTCCCCTTTTTATAAGGATACCCGTCATGCTGGAGTAGGTATCATGACCTCATCTTCACTTGATCATATGTGAAGACCCTATTTCAAAATGTCACATTGACAGGTACTGGGGGTTCGGACTTCAACACCTTTTGGGGAGGCACAGTTCAACCCCAGACATTACAGATTTGCAAAGCCTTTTCATTTTGAGTTTAGTTTTTGAGTTTATGTGGAAGGACCATGCCCTAATCTTGACACCTTTTTTTTTAATTAAAAAAATATATCTTGGCAAACTTTAAAAATTTAAGTTTTATTTAGCTTTTAAAAATAGATAATACACTGCGATGTTCCAGAGTTCTAAAGATATGGAAGCATGCAGAACTGTGTGGCCAATATGGAAGCCACTCACGCACATGGCTGTTGGAATGAATTAGAATTACAGAAAATTAAAGGTGCGGGTCTCAGTGGTGCTAGCCACTTTTCAAGAACGCTTCCATCGGTGCAGAGAGTTGCACGAGTCTCCCAGCCCTCCTCAAAGCCAAGCTGCTGTTAGTTTTATGAGACCCCCTCTCAGGTATAATCTGTGCCTCCAATCAGCAAATAGGTGTGAATATACTTTCCCCTTTACCTTTTTAAAAATAAAAATGTCTCCCATGTATTTTGAATGGCTACCCAATAGCCAACGGGATGCGATTTATTTACCTAGTTCCATAGTGAAGGGCTCTTGAGTTTTTAGTCTTAAAAATCCGCTGCCGCGAACACCCCTCTCTCTGCAGGGTAAGTTCTTAGCAGTGGGATTCCCAGGACAAACAGTGTGCCCATTTTTCTCTCAGTAGGTGCTTTTCAAAGTTCATAACCAGGGGCACCGAGATGGGACTCAGTGGGTTGCGTGTCTGTCCCTGATGCTGGAGAGACAGTTGAGAGGTTCCATCTGACGCTCCCACAGTCTGTGACTCCCCAGAAAGGTAGAAAGGGCAGCTTTAGACTGGGTCCTGCCCAGCAGGCCCTCGGGGAGCCTTTGGCAGTAATTCTGCCTTGGTCTCCAGTGTCTTCTCAGAAATGTCAGAGTTGAGAATCTGGAACCGGGGCTGGGATTTTTGCTGCATAAACACCCTCTTCACTCCTGCAGCCACTTCCTGCCTGGGTGGGGAGAAAAGCAGGTGTCAGGGGAGAGCGCTTCATCCTAAAGCCTCAGCTGCCTGACTGCTGAGACTATACATCATTTTCAGAACTCCCGGGAGCCCCGGAGCCTCCTCTGGCGGCTCACTAAGTGCACAAGTGCTAATGGCCTCTCCCCCGCCAACCACAGACCATTCTGCTGCTCTCCTGAGGGCTTGTCTGCAGCCTGCAAGCATTTGCCTTCAGAGAAACTCCAGCTCTAGCTGCCTCAGAGCCAGCACAGTAATGTAACCGCTGGAGCTCTGGAACTTTCCAAAGCCTGTTCTGGGGGGGGTGTGGGGAGTTCATGGGTGGCCTGGAGCTGGGTCTGTCCTTCTGTCCTCTCGGTAAGCCCATATGAGATGAGGAAACTGAGGCAGTCAGGCTCAGGAATTCAAAGCCACCAAGCTGGATTCAACTCAGCCCAAAGTTTATGGGGTTTAAGATTGGCATGGGCGAGAGAGTTATATTTCTGTGACCCCCACTAGGCATGCAGTTGTAGGGCACCCTGAAGTCCCAGGTTGCCTGGAGAGTCCTGGTTTACTGTTGACCCAGCTCATTCGTGATTAGCGTTCTCTTTAACTGCTAAGTGTCCTGGTTTGGGTGAGAAATTCTACAGTCATCCTATGCATAGGCCGCTCTCTGAGGAAACTACAGCGGCCTGCGAAAGAGACCAGATAAAACCGTCACTAAGACACACCGTTAAGTGAGAGAGGCAGAGCCGAGTGGAGAGCTGCATCTCTTTTTGGGAAAAGCAAGAGGGAGTGTGCACAGGACGCTCATGTGTATGTATTTACACACATGCATGCAGAGTTATGCAGTCCTCTGCTGTCACTTGAAGACGCACAGGAAGCTGGGGCCTGCGGCTGCCTTTGAGGGAGGGTGGGAGACCAAAGAGGGGACTGAAACTGATATTTTTCAGTGTATTCATTTATTCAACAATGACTTAGCAAGCTCCTACAATGTGCCAGATACTGGGAAGAAAGCTGAATGAAAGAGACAGATATGCAAAATTCTTTCCTCCTGGAATTTACATTCTCATGGGAGAGACAATAAATAAGCACATTGTAGGGGGACAGGTGAGCATAAGTACTCTAGGAAAAGGGAGTCATTGAGCTGGTACCAGGGTCTGAAGTTATGTGAGAGGAAATATCTGGGGTTTGGATTCAGTATTGAGTAAGCTGAAAGAGTAAGCCTAATTGAGAAGAGAACTTTTAGCAAAGACACCAAGGATGTGCAGCAGAGAGCGCTGTGGTTTTCTGAGGGACAGGCATTCTGGTAAAGAGCAAGCATGTGCAAAGGTCCTGAGGTGGCAATGTTCCTGGAGCATTAGAAGCCCAGCATGAGACCACGTAGTTGGAGCAGATTAGGAGAAAAGACAGACATGGGAGGACAGATCGTGTAAGGCTTTACCAGAGAGTATTCACACGATGGCGATTTGTGACTGTTGTCCAGGAACAAAGGTAAAAATAGGATTTACCAGAGAGTAAAAACTAGCCGACAGTCTGGGGACAGTGAGGTTGTTTTTATAGCTTTGGGGCAAACAGATCAGCTGGCAGCCAGCAGAGATGTCCGCTGGCTTAGTCTACAGTTGGCAGGGCCACTGAAGCACATGGGCTCAGCAAAGCCCTCCAGCACGGAGATGTAGGGCGTGTTTCGGGCATCGGTGTGTCCTGCTGCCAGGGTGCGCCCACGGGCTGCTCTGCCTGGCAGGTCTGCACCACTGACTTCTGGGGTGGGTCTTGGCGTTACTGGCCTTTGCAAGGACTTTGGCTTCTCACAGGGTGGAGGACAGATATCAGGGGCCAGGACGGGAGCCGGGAGGAGGGTGTTGCCATGACACCGGTGCAATGACCAGGACTCGAGGGGGGGCAGTGGTGGAGGTAGCCAAAGTGGTCAGGTCCCAGAATATTCTGTGGGGAGAGCTAGCCGGAGTCTCTGATAGACTGGATGGGTGGGGAGTGGTATGGAGAGAGGAAGAGTCCCTCATATCTGCATCTGAATTTGTGACATGGATTACCTACTTTGAAAAACATTGACTTTAAGAAATTGGAAAAGGATCAGCCTAGAAGGTTGTTAGCCCCTGCCATCTGCCCATTCCTTGTTGTTGGGGCCAGGGCCAGGCCTCTTGGCCGTGCGCATCCCCCCACGTGATGTTGGGGTCTTTTTAGGGCCGGAGTGAACTGTGACCAGCAAGGGGCCGTGAGGCCCAGTGGTTCCAGGCCCAGCTGGAGGTGAAACTGGTGACAGCGGCAGCCCTGTGTTCCTCGTCGGGAGCCTCAGCCGGCAGGCGGGAAGCCAATTGGCCTTCTCTGTGTTGCTGAGCAACTGCTGAGCAAGCAGGTCCACCTGTCGGGTAAGAAGAAGGGCCCCTCCTTGCCCCAGTGTCAGGCTGTGGGAGGGGGAGGGCTTAGTGTCCTGCTTGCAGTCCCTGTCCCCCCAACCTACAGATACTAACACGCCATCTAAGAAAAATCCAGGCTCTGTATCTGCTCACCGCTTCCCTTGGATCCCCCGGATGTCCCTTCCAGAACCCTGAATGCCCCCATGGACTGGAAAACAGCAGTTTTTGGACAGTTTTTGATTCTGACCCACATGACACAATATCTGAAGAACACATTTTGCATCGTGCCCCAAGTTGCATGGGACACTGTTTAAATCTTGAACACGCGGCCTGGCCTGGGCACTGACCAGTCTGACCAGATGTCTGGCCTGGCGCCCCCTGGCTGTGCTCATCATGGGGTGCTCTGGAAGATTCCAAGGAAGCGACCTCAGGGGCTGGCATGGGCACGCTGGGCCTGTGATCCCGGGGGACAGCAGCAAAGTAAAAACAAGTGATTTTGCTTTTCTTCACATGCCCTGCGTCTTTTGCCTCTACTACTTATCACAAACCCCGGTTCTATTTCTGTGTATTCTTTGACCGATCACTGTCCCCTCTGCCAGGCTGTAAGGTCTGTGATGGCACCATGTCTGCTTTGCCTTCCATTTCAGCCTCAGGGCCTGGTGCATCGTCCATTGTCAGCTGAGTGCTATGAAAAATCCATCATCTACATGACGCAGAGCCGGGCTGACGGACGGCTTCTGTGAAGGCCCACATAATGAGGATTCTAGGATTTGCAGGCCATATGGCTCTGGTGGTGCTACTTGTTGAAGCGTAATAATACCACAGAGAACGCAAGTGAATGGGCACGGCTGTGTTTGGCTATGGACTGAATACTTGTGCCCATACTCCCCACCCCCCACCCACCCCTCCTGATTCGGATGTTACAGCCCCAGTGTGATGGTATTGGGGGCAGGGTGTTCAGGAGGGGATGAGCATATGCAGGCGGAGCCCCCACGACGAGATTCGTGTCCCTAAAAGAACAGGAAGAGCTAACCCTTTCCCTCTGTCCACTGCATGAGGACGCAGCATGAAGACAGCTGTCCAGAAACCAGGAAGAGGTCCTCACCGGGCCCCAGCCCCGCTGGCACCCTGATCTCGGACCTCCAGCCTCCAGAACTGTGAGAAACAAATTTCTGTTGTTTAAGCCACCAATCTATGATATTTTCGTTAGAGCAGCCCGAACAGACTAGAAGACACCAGGTTTGGCCCTCGGGCCTCCTGACCCCTGACATGGAAGGTCTTGGCACTAGTCTTTTTTTTTCTCCCCATTTAAAAAAAATTAAAGTATCATCGATATACAATCTTATTAAGGTTTCAGATGGACAACACTGTGGTTTCAGCATTCACCCCTATTATCAAGTCCTCACCCCCCACCCCATTACAGTCACTGTCCATCAGCATAGAAAGATGCTATAGAGTCATTAATTGTCTTCTCGGTGCTGTACTGCCTTCCCTGTGACCTGCCTATATTGTGATCGTGAATTATAGCGCCCCTTAGTCCCCTTCTCCCTCCCTCCCTCCCCACCCACTTTCCCCACCCTCTGGTAACTGCTAGTCCCTTCTCAGAGTCTGTGAGTCTGCTGCTATGGCATCAGTCTTTCTAGGAGTGAAACTCTTTTTTGCCTATGTTGTCAGGAAATTATTTCATGTCTCTGCACATTAGTCTCCTCATCTGAAACACGGAGAGAGAATGCTCATCTCCTAGGCGGTGGTTGTGAGAATCAATGCAAGAATCTCTCTCAAGTACTTAAACATGCCCCCCAGGCCCTCATTCAAATCTCCCTCCCGATCACTCTGGAGCAGAAACTCCAGGAGCTATAACCCCACTCTCCAGCGAGCATCCATTGAGCGCTTACTGTGTGCTGCGCCCTGGACAAGGAGGCGAGGGGTGGTTTCCCCTTGGCCGGGGTGTATGAGCTCTGCTGGAAGGAGGGGGAAGCCAGGCCAGCTGTGGAACACTGAGACCAGTCATCTCCCCACTGGGAAACAGGGCTGTGAACGGCTCCAGAGACTTCCTAGCTGAAGGCCTCAAAGGCCAGGATGAGAACCCCAAACACCTGCAGAACTATTTCCCAATGGTGTTTACTGCTTTTTAACCCAGAGATTGCAGAATGGTGCCAAGGGCCAAATCCAACCTGCAGGCATGTTTTGTTTGGCCTGCTTAGCATTTAAATAAATAATAAATAAATAAATAAATAAAAATAATAAATAGATAAATAGATAAAAAATAAATAAATGAATGAATGAATGAATGAATAAATAATAAGCAAGCCAACATTTAAAATCTGATTTGGGGTAAAACCCAGATTTCTGCCTCTAATTAAAAAAAAAAAATCTGAAGATCCGACCCCCTGGAGGTAAAGTCCCACCTGGCAGCAGGGTAGAACTAAGCAGATGGGATCCTTTAACTTAGTTACTTCGGCTCTCTGTTCTTTGTAAAACCCTTTGTTTGGTGACACACATTTTTCTTTTCTTTCGGACCTTTATTCGTTCCTCCTCCATCTTGAGTTTAAAATAAAGCCACGTATTCTTTTAAAAGATGTACACTAATGCTAAAGTTCTCTGCAAGACCTTTTTAACTTCTCAGTCAACACAGATGGAAAAAAATGGCAACCTTCCACCATGTACTCGGCATGTGGCAGAAGCTGAATAGTTTCTCAGTGAACAAATGATTAACTATGTGTATTAGTTTCCTACAGCTGCTACAATGAATCACCAGAAACTCAGTGGCTTAAAACAACAAATTAATTTTACTAGAGCTCAGACGTCCAAAATGGGTTTCACTTGCCTAAAATCAAGTTGTTGCCAGAATCACATTTCTTCTGGAAACTTCAGAGGAGAATCTTGTTTCCTCGCCTTTTCTAGCCTCTAAAAGCTGCCCACATTTCTTGGCTCATGACCCCTTTCTCCAAGTTCAAAGCCAGAGGAGCATCTTCTACTCTTTCTGATTCCGACCCTCTTACAAGGGCCTTGCGATTGCCCTGGGCCCACCAGCTGATCCAGAATAATCTCCCCATCTCAAGGTCCTCAACTGCAAAATGCCTTTTGTCCTGTAAGACAATTTATTTGAGGGATTAGAAGGACATTGTCATCTTTGGGAGGATGGGTATTATTCTGCGTGCCACCCTATGAACTAAACATTTTTCTACCTTGGCCAGGATTTGGCCTTGGGGTTTCAGGCTATAACTAGTGATTCTGCATTCTTCCAAATATTTATTAGGCACCTCTTCTACACCAGGCCCTTGCTGAATGTTAGGAACACAGCAGTGAACAAAACAGGCTAACACCAGGATGCTCCCTTTGAAGGAGACACAGGCTCAGGTTTGCCCCTCAAGCCTAGCCCACTAACCCTACCTGTGGACACTGGGGTTTACCTGTTGGAGAGACCCCATGTGCACCTGTCCCATTTTCTGCCCTGTGAGTGGAATACTGTAGACCATGCTTTAACACACTCATCTAGGGGCCACTTTCTTCTGATTGCTGTGTTCCAAGGATGGGTTTTACAGGCATGTAGAGATGAGAAGTACTTTCTCTCAGTACCATTGGTCCTTGCACACGTAGACTAAGAACAGGGACATTGAGGCCACATTGAAGGTGACCAGACAGTCATGCTGCGCCTAAAGGGTCTGCACCATGACGGATCTTAGCGTGGGGAAGTCCAGCACAGCCTGGCCCTGGACGTGGCTCACTCCTCCCAGGTACCTGCCTCTGGGTGGGACAAATACTGCTTTGTGGCCTCCAAGCAGAGCTCCACTGTTGGCAAGTATAAAGGGTATTGTCTGTTTCTTCGCAGCTGTAGTTCCCCCAGGCCCTGAGTTTGAATCGGGACATTGTCTTCTGATGGAGTCCCCAGGGAGCATTCAACTGCAGTGTGGACACCTGGGCCGCCATCAACCACATCACATCCCAGGTTGAGACCTGAGTTCTCCCTCCTTGCTGAGGAAGGAGGGGTTTGGATTTTAATGTCAGCATGCAGGTGTCATGTATGGGACAGCTGAGGAGGTGGCAGGAGGGCCCTGGGAAGCCGACAGCATGGCCTTATTTTGGCAGTATGCATATGATTAAGCAGGATGCGCTGTTGTAATAAAAGTTTGCTTTACCATGAAGTTTACTCCCGGGTCATGTCACAGTTCAGGGTGGCTCTGCTCCACACAGAGAGAGAGAGAGAGAGAGAGAAGGAAGAGGTTTCCACAGGCCAGACACAGAGTAGTCCAAGCCACTCCTGCCCAGGTTCCATTGGCCAGAACTCATCATATGATGCCACCCACCTGCAAGGAAGGCTGGGAAATGTAGTTTTAGCTGTGTGTCCAGGAGTTAAAAACTGGTTTGGTGAACATATAGCAGCCACTATAGGTGTATTTGTTCATTCATTTGCTATATACGGATTGTGTCTGCTGTGTACTGGGGATGCACAGGTGACTCTGTATCTGTCCCCATCTCCAAGGAACTTTCAAGTTCAAATCCCACCTCCACTGCTGACCAGCTGCATGACCTTGGGTGTAAGTCACTCTACCCGCTGAGCAGCAGTTTTTCCAGCTGTGAAATGGGGATAGGAATACCAGCCTGTGAAAGCCGGGTGAGGATTAAATGTGGTAAGTTGTAAAGTAAGTAGATCAGGGCCTGGTTCATGGTCAGGGTCAAAGAGAAGGCAGCCATGGATGCGGGAGGTAGAGAAGCAGAGGACAGGGTCATGTCTGGGGACCCGCCTCTAAAGCTTCTGAGTAAGATTTAGTACCAGACACTATTGAGGGAGGACGGCAGTTTGTGCATCTGCTCTTGGGCCTGGGCTTTCAATAAACTTTTGACTGGTCCCTCCTCGGGCACTCAGCCAGCCACTTTGGGGGTTCTGCATCTCATTCCTCTGGTCCCTCTAACTCCCCTTCTCCAACTCCCCCTCCCAACAGGTGTCGGTCCAGCTGAACAGGTCTGACTCCCACGTGGTGTTTTTCTTCCAACTCAGACATCCCCATCGACCAACATTTCCTCCCAATTTACAGGCAGAGATGATGGTCCCTTTGGGATGATCTCGAATTGCCTGCCAAGTGTTGTCTCGAAGCAGCCAGCTTGCTGGGAGATGGGGCAGAAGGAAGGGAGCAGGCAGGGAGGAGAGGTCACCCCACAATGTCAAGCTGAGCCAGAACAGCCCCTCCAGAATGAACAACAGATGGTAGGGGGGTTTCCAAATCCATCATTTGGAAATGATCATCTAGAGAAGAAGGATTTTTAGCTCCTGGGGGGGTGAAGGGATCACCTTTCACCCTTAAAAATGAGAGACACAGAATTGTCCTCCAAGCCCCATCCTGTATTTGGGAGAAGCCACGTGATCCTTTTTTGACCCAGGGTATTTTGCCTAGTGTGGAGTAGAAACACCGAGGGCTTCACTCGGAAATGAAGGGAGGGGAAGAGCACAGGTGGGGAGCAGGTGGGAATGCTGTGCTCTGAACCCCGGGGCTGGGTCCTTAGGAAGCCCCCACGCGTGTATTGCTTCACTGAGCAAGTGGAGTGTGCTGTGCACACAGGAATTAGGCAGCGGAACAGGGAGATGGAGTTGTAGATGGGCAGTCCCAGCTGTAGTGAGGCCTGGAGTTTGAGAGGAACTTTTCTTTTACATTTATTTTTTTAATTTTGGTATGGTTAATATACAATCACTTGAAGAACACTATGGTTACTAGACTCCCCCCATTATCAAGTCCCCCCCACATACTGCATTACAGTCACTGTCCATCAGTGGAGTAAGATGCTATAGAGTCACTACTTGTCTTCTCTGTATATAATGCCTTTCTCATGTCCCCCCTGCCCCCCCTACATTATGTGTGCTAATTGTAATGCCCCCTTTTCCCCCTTATCCCTCCCTCTGACCCATTCTCCCCAGTCCCTTTCCCTTTGGTAACTTTTAGTCCATTTTTGGGTTCTGTGATTCTGCTGCTGTTTTGTACTTTCAGTTTTTGCTTTGTTCTTATACTCCACAGATGAGTGAAATCATCTGATACTTGTCTTTCTCCACCTGGCTTATTTCACTGAGCATAATACCCTCTAGCTCCATCCATGTTGTTGCAAATGGTAGGATTTGTTAATATTCCATTGTGTATATGTACCACATCTTTATCCATTCATCTACTGATGGACACTTAGGTTGCTTCCATTTCTTGGCTATTGTACATAGTGTGATAAACATAGGGGTGCATATGTCTTTTGAATCTGGGATCCTGCATTCTTAGGGTAAATTCCTAGAAGTGGAATTCCTGGGTCAAATGGTATTTCTATTTTGAGCTTTTTGAGGAACCTCCATATTGCTTTCCACAATGGTTGAATTAATTTACATTCCCACCAACACTGTAGGAGGGCTCCCCTTTCTCCACATCCTTGCCAGCATTTGTTGTTGTTTGTCTTTTGGATGTTGGTTGAGAGCAATTTTTAATGCCTGCTGTGTGTTCAGCCCTGTGCTGGTGGGTTTTGGAAACTCAGAAGGAACCCAAGAAGGGCTTGGAATTAGGGAAACTGACAACTCAAATGTACGCTTTTTCCTGTACTGACATCTCTGCAATCAGGGTATGTGTTCAAACCCCCACAGGTTCGTTGTCACATACACTCACTGTTTTCGCTTTATGAAAGTCCATAAAATCGTGGCACATCGGAGGGCTCCTGGCATCGTGGGCTGAAGAACATGGTGTCACTATAATCATTTCTAATGGGAGCTGACGTCTTTGGGTGTTTATCCTGTGCTGGGCTCTGTTCTCTACCCTTTTACATGGATCATCTCGTGGGACCTTGTGACATTGCCGTCATAGCATTTTGTGGATGAGAATCTGAGAGAGGTGACGTGATTTGCACAAGGTGGAGGATTTTGGATGGAACGGGAGTGGTCCGGCCCGAGCTCATTTGGGGAACTGAGGTGGACTTGCTGGAAGCTTGGAGTCTGAGTCACCTCATGGGTTCAGGCTGTATGAGCACCTTTTAAAGCAGCAGACGCCCTAGTTCACACCATCTCTGTGGTTGGACGGGCCTGGGAAAACACACAGGAGCTTGGCCTTCTCGACCTGGCCTCCTCTGAAACTCTCCCAAGGTATCTCTAATTTTCATTATCACCCTCCCAAGGAGACTTTTTAGACACTTTTTCTCCCTAGTTGTTCCCTCTGAAATTTTAATTCCATAGATGTTCTGGATTTGTTTATGTGCCGTGTGCATCATAAGAAGGCTTTTAAAACCTGCCCTCAAGAACCAGTGTTTGCGTGTGGAGCTGCTACTGTCCCCACTGAGAGCGGGTGCTCCACGGGACCCCTCCCCGAGGCTAGTCAGAGAGAACGTGGGTGAAGCCTAGTTCTTAGCCCAAGCCACGCAGAGAAATCACCTGGGAGGCTGTAGGTCATACCCAGGCCCCAGCCTAGAGATGCTGAGTTGATTGGTCAGGGGTGTCCCAGGCCTCCTTTGTTTAAAAATAAATAAATTTCATTTTTTAGAGCAATTTTAGGTTTACAGAAAAATTGGGCAGAGTACAGAGTTCCTGTGTAGTCTTTCCCCACCACACCCAGCTTCTCTTACCACCGTCTGCATTAATGTGGCCCATTGTTAATACATTATTAACTAAAGTCTGTAGTTTACACTAGGGTTCACTCTTTGTCTTCCACATTCTATGAGCTTTGCCAAGTCCAGAATACCATGTATCTGCCTTTGCACTGCCCTCAAAACCCGCCGTGCCCCACCTGCTCATCCCCTTCCTCCCCTAACCCCTGGCCACCAAGCCATTTCCCATCGACTTGGTTTTTCCGCAAGGTCCTAGAGCTGGAATCATTCAGCGTGTAGCCTTTTCAGATTGGTGCCTTTCACTTAGTAGTATGCATTTATAGTTCCTTCATGTCTTTTTCGGGCTTGCTCGCTCATTCCTTTTTACCAACAAATAATATTCCTTTGCATGGATGTACCACTGTTTTCCAATCCATCTGTGGAGGGAAGAGGCATACTTCTAAAAGCTTCCCATGTGATTATATGTACAGACTGGGCTAGGCCAGTTTCTCCCCTGTAGATGGGGAAACTGAGGCCCAATTAGGAAAGGGGCTCTGGGTCCTGCAGAACTGGTGGAGTGGGCCTCCCTGTACCCCACCCATTCCTCCCCCCAGTGCCCTGGTTAAGACTTTGCTCCAGTCTGACCCCTGGTATGGACCCCTTTTATACCAGATATGTCCCCCTTTGACTTCCAGAGCTTCTGGGGTATCCTCTGGGACCAAGGGTATCCTCTTTGGGGCATCCTTTTCTGTAACTGGATTGTCCAGGGGTCCTCTGCTTCCCCAGGAGCCCTCTTCAGGCACTGGCATGAGTTTTAGACCCAGGCAGACCTGGGTTGAATATGTGAGCCTCAGTTCCCCCATTTGTAAGATGGAAATCCCCACTTGACATGTGGTGGAAATGACAAGTTGAGACTCCGTTTTTGGGCCAGGCACTGCGGTCAGGGATGGCTGTCGCCTATTCTTGCTCCATTTAGTTTCCTCTCCTGAGTGTTCTCTGATGAGCTGGAGTGGCTCAGGAAGGCTTCCTAGAGGAAGGGGCCCTCCTGCATACCCGTCTTCCTCAGACCCTTCTGCCCTCCCTCCACAGCTGAGCCCTCTCCTGCCTCCCTGCAGGTGCAGGCAGCTGCCAGGTGCTCTGAAGAGCACAGCCTCAACGGCTCCCTGCCTGTGCGCATGTCCAGCAGGGAGCTGGTTCTGCTGGAGGCCGCCGCCAGCCAGGACGCCCGGAGAAGCAGCCAGAGCTGGGGTATGAACATTCTTCTCTACCAGGTGGCCCTCGGAGCCCCCAGCGCTGTTCAGCTGCAGTTGTCTGGTCCCAGGTGGTCTGCAAGGGGGGAGGGAGCCCCCGAGGGCAAAGGGCTGGCATCCTGGGAGATGGGAAAGCATGGCTCAGAGTCCCCCTCTCTGTCCCTCTGGGACCAGGCCCACGTTACCCCCACTGGGGCCATTCTTGGTTTTAAGGCATTGCAGCAATGGAAGGAGGAGACACTCAATTGTCTATCTTCTTCTTTTTTCTTATCTTTTTAAGTTAAAACTACATTCACTGTAGATGACTTGAAAGATTATAATGTATAGAGAATAAAACAAAAATCCCTGGAGAGTGTCATGGGGAATATGTTGGTATATTTCCCTCCTGTCTTTTCTCTTTAACCACATCCTCATGTATTGATAAATCCACTATGACACGGCTGTCAACTACTGGGACAAGGACCAGCTGCTTCAAACCCAGCTCTGCCTTCGCTGCCTCTGGGGCCTCGGGCAAGCCGCTGTGTCCTCTGTGCCTGAGTTCCTCGACCTCCCTCTCAGGACTGTCCTAGGACTAACTGAGCAGCACACGTGAGTTCCCGAGCAGCACCTGGCCAGCGAGTGTTCATTACCCGGCTGCTCTTAATGCTGCTACTCTGAGCATGGCACATTCTGGCACACGCTGGGCCTCCATTATGGTAGTTCCCCTTTTCCCCTGCAGTCTCAGGTTTGGCAGCTTTTTTGAATTCGTAGAGACCCAAGGCTTTGGACATGGTCCCTAGGTAACCCTGTTCCCAGAATTACCACCTATGGCTGGCTAGCCATCCGTCTATTCATCCATCTGTCCAACTGCCCATCCTTATCCCCAAGTCTTTTGAGACAGATTATAAAAATGTATATTGTTCTCAGTCAGGAATTGGCAAACTTTCAGTAAAAGGCCAGATGGTAAATATTTTTGGCCATATGGTCTCTGCTGCAATTACTGGGCTGTTGTGGCTCAAAAGCATCATTAAAAACATGTAAATGAGTGGGTGTGGCTGCATGCCAATAAAACTTTATTTACTAAACAAATGGCAGACTGGTTTTGGCCCACACAGGCCCATAGTTTGCCAACTCTTGTTCTAGATTTTTAAAAAATACATGAGGAAATTAGGACAAAGGGAAAAGAAAAATGGGGAAAATGGGAAGGTGCTCAAAGTGGCATCAGTAAGCAAAATGCATGCTGTGAGGTCCTGTACCTTTTCTAGATTTGGGCTGATTTTTGACTCTGAGCTTCCTAGGAGCCAATGCAAAAAAGATAAACCCACTGGTGGCATTATGTGCAAAGGCTATAAGGGAAATAGACAGCTGTGTGAATTATACCAAGGAAAGCATGGCTGATCTTGTTTCCCGTGCCAATACTCAAGGGAAGTAGCTCCCAAGGTGTACCATGTAGATGGTAAGGACCGTGTCTCAGGCCCCAATTCTCCAGGAAGTTTAACAGCAGGCTTCTTGGGGCTGTTTCTTTTCTCAGCCCTCACCATAGTAATGTGCGTTGATAACTCATTAGCAATATCAGGTCAATATCAAAAGTTCCATCTTATCCCTCACATTACAGAAGAAACAGAGGCCCAGAGAGGTTATGTCCTTGTCTAAGACAACACAGTCACAGTCCTGGGATTCAAACCCAGGTTTGGTTGACCCCAAACCCGTGTTCTTAACCCCCCGTTACACTGCAGCCCTGTAAAGGCAATCCTGTGATGGGTTTGGACTGTGGGTTCACCCACTCACGCCTTATGGCCTGGCCTGCTTAAATGAAGGGGAAAAATACTATTTGCCTGCAGGAATGGATGCTGTCCTTTAACCTGCCACCATCACCTTCTTTCCTAGGACTTGCCTGTTTTCCAGAGCACTACTGGGCCAGAACACAGCAGAGCTTTATCTCTAGGCATCTGAGTTGCAGAGGGGAGGCCGCGTCCTGACCCTGCAGAGCCAAGCCCGGCACACGGTGGCTGGCTGGGCAGCTGTGCCCCGCCTCTTGACCCCCAAGTGCATACTGAAGTGGACAGAGACACTCAGAGAGGGTGAAGGCCTGCGGAATGCCATGGGTCAGGTGCATGGAGGTCTTGAGCAAGTATTTTCTATGGAGCCACAGGGCAGATGAAATCCTACACATTTTCAAGTCTGTTGATGCTCCATTCCAGCATCACACACACTGGTGATACACTTTTGTCTGACAAAGTGAATTTTCTGCTAAGTACTAAACAGGCTTCTTTATGGAGGACTTGTCAGAGCCTTCAACGTAACTAATGGGCATTGGAACTATGCAGGAGGGAGAGTGGGGTGCAGTGTTCCCAAGCACATTTTTTCTAATGCTTTTTATTTTGATATAATTTCACACTTATAGGAAAGTGGCAAGAATAGTAAATAGGTTCCCCTTTACCCAACTTCCCCGATTATTGACTTTCTGCCGTAAATGCTTTATAATTCTTATTCTGTCCCTCTTTACATATACATATACATGTATAAAACATTTTTATTTGTATGTAAAAATATATTTTATTCCTGGACTGTGTTTTACTAAGTTGCAGACATGATAGTTCTTCACCCCTAAATAGTTCAGTGTTTATTTCCTAAAAATAAAGATATTCTCCCACATTCCACAACAGTTACCAAAATCAGAAAATTCACATAGATACAGTGCTGTTATCTCATCTGTAGACCTTACTCAAATTCCAATGGTTGTCCCAATAACATCCTTTATAGAAAAAGAAATGCTGGATCATTCGTTACATTTAGTTGTATTGTTTCTTCAGTTTCTCAGTATTTCTTTCCTTTTCATGATATTTGCGTGTTTGAAGGCTACAGGCCAGTCATTTTGTGGAATATCCCTCACTTTGGGTTTGTGTGATGCTTCCTGACCAGTTTAAAGAAAGCATTTATAGCAAAATACCACAGAAGTGAGACACTGTCACATCCGCAGGCACTTGATGTCACTTTGTCCCAGTATTGGTGACATTAGCTTTGATCACTTGATGAAGGTAGCATCTGCCAGGTTTCTCCATGAAGTTTTTATTATTTCCTTTGTGTGTTGACTCCATTGGACAGGTTAAGAAGTTTCTCCTCCTCTCCTCTCCTCCCTGAGACAGTTTGTGTAAGACTGGTGTTAATATCCCCTTTGATATCTCATAGGTTCTACCAGTGAAGCCATCTGGAGTTTGATTTGTGGAAATAATGTTTTGGAAAATGAATAGATCATAAAGCTATTCAGATCTTCTATTTCATTATGAGTCAGTTTGGCTAAGTCATATTTTTTAAGGAATTTGTCCATTTCAACTACGTTGTCCTATTTATTGGCATTCAGTTGTTCATTACATCTATTATGATCTTTTTCACGTAGGCAGGATCTGTAGTAATATTCCTGCTGTCATCCGTGATGGCTGTAACTTGTGTTTCTTCTCTCCCTCTCTCTCTATTTCTTATTAGTCTAACTAGGATTTCATCAATTTTGTTGATCCTTTCAAAGAACCTGTCTTTGGGTTTATTAATTTTCTCTCTTGCTGTGTCTTTCCAATTTCATTGATTTTGGCCCTTACCTGATTTTTCCTTTCTTAGGCTTCATTTGGGTTTACTTTGCTCTTCTTCTAGTTTATTAAGGTGAACCTTCAAACCATTGATTTTTCAGACCTTTTGTTTCTTCTAATATAAGTATATAAAGCTATACATTTTCCTCTAAGTATTCCTTTAGCTGCATCTCACAAATTTTGATGTCGTGTATTTTCGCTATCATTTTATTTAGAAATATTTTTAGATTTCTCTTGTGATTTTTTTGATGCATGGAAATACGTTGCTTAATTTCCAAGTAGTTGATACTTTTCGATACTCAGTTTAATTTCATTGTGGTTGGAAGATCTGTTCTGTAGGATTAGTCATTTAAGATTTGTTGTGACTTTTTTTGGAGGGGCCGTTATATAATCTGTCCTGTGGACATACGTAAGAAGAATTTGTATTCAGCTTTTGTTGGGTGTAATATTCTATAAGTGCCAAATTAGGTCAAAGTTCTTGGTTGTACTGTTCTGATATATAACCTCACTGATATTTTTGTCTTGTTATTATATCAGTTAATGAGGGAAGAATATTAAACTCTGGTGAATATCTCTCTCTATTTCTCTTTCGGGATCTGTCAATCTTGTTTCATGCAGGTTGACCTACTGATATTAGGTGTATAAGCATTTATGATTGTTATGCTTTCTTGATGAATTAACCCATTTATCATGAAATGTACTACTTATTTCTCATAAGACTCCTTGTCTTAAAGTCTAGTCTGTCTGATACAATTGTTACTGCTCTTGCTTTTTTATTAGCACTTGAATTATATCTATTTTCCCACCCTTTTTCTTTAGGCATATCTATTTCCTTATAAAGTACATTTCTTGTAGACCACATATAGTTGGATTTTATTTTTATATCCAGTCTGACAATC